GACTGAATTAGTTACAGCGAGGCGAGGAATGTTATGTATCACATAAAGAGCAGAAAGAGAAAAAGAGAATAATGCAATACTATAAGTACAACTGAGGATGAAAAGAGAACTTCTACTGTGAAGTACACTAGGATGACGCAGGGTAGGCTAGCTTGACACTGTCTGAAGGAGAATACAAGAGAGGATGCTCAAACGCATTTCGACGTATAAAAAAATAATAAGGAAATATAAAAAAAGCAAAATAGATAACCAACAAATATGATGATATTAATTTATCCCTTAAATGGGAAAGGCAAAGGACTTTAGTCCATACAGCTAGATAACTAACAAATACAATAAACGTAGACAATGTTTCAAAAATATTGCCATAATAAAGATTTTATTAAATAATTCAAATATTGAATAAAGAAAAAATATGTTAAAACTAATGTAAAGTTAAATCAATACCTGATACAAATCTCATTAATAAACATTTTTTATTACTCTGTATTTCCAAAAACATGCGAATATAAAGTTGTAAATTGTAATTTCTTCGTCGAGATGAGTCATAGATACATCAAAAAAAGCCCGCCGGTCAAAGATTTAAATATAAATCAATATTCGCATCAAAACGTTCGACTTAAATGCATCAAAGAGATTGTTTATAATCAAATTAATTATTACAGCACTTACTTGGTCTTCTTTGGGGTGTTCATGTGTACAATGTCTGTGTGGATGTTGGTCTGTCTCCAATTCATTCACAAACGAATACGAAACCACACTATTCATAAACAAAACAACACAAACACACACATATAGTGTCATTTTCGACATTTTCACATGAATTGTTTACATTTTAAAACTACGACACGTATTGACATACCGAACTTTGCGATCTAACTAATTTTATTATTAAACGACGGCTCACGGAATAAACTTATTGACGTATTGCGCTTGTCGCTTACTTCAGTTCGTTCAGTCTCAGCTGTGATCTGTCAATTGTGTACTTTTGAAATTGAACTGTCATGTCAATGGTCGTGGCGCGGTATTTAAATTAAAATATGAAATCGACCGTTCCACTGTATAAAAAGATAATTAAAAATAAATAAATTATATCGTTTGAATATTTTGAATTACCTATAGTAGTACTTTAAACTTAATAAAGTTTTTTTAAATTATATATAAGGACTTGCAATTGGGAATCGGCGTGGGTGTTTCAACGAGACACGACTTTTAAAATCTTACAACATATGCAAATTGCAAAATAGTTCTATAACCTATTTACACAATAAAACGCGCTTAGCAAGCAAGTGTATAGAATATTTTGATGTGTAATCAATACGGCCTTGATTGCCTGCCCTTATTTGCAATTTTACGAATTAAATATATTATTTTGCCTGTATTAAAGTTGGGTTCACCTCGAGTAAACGACTGTTAAAAAACCTTTATATGTTTTTAAAATCTAGGTCTTTGGGCGGTTAAATTAATTTAATATATTTTTATTATATAGTAAGAGGTGAGATAGATATAGGCAAGGGCGGATCCAGCTTTGGCGCCAGGAGGGGGTCACATAGTCGTGGTCATGTCAAGAACTTATAATTTAATTTTGATAACAATAGATACAAGTAAAAAGTAGGTATTTTATTAATGTACGTAAGTATTGCACTTAAAAATATTTATTCTTTGAACTTTGAAAACTTTTAAAACTTAACACATTATATTGTGTACATACAGGTTGGTCCAACTAGTGACGTCAATATTTTTTTTTAGATTCCTTATCCCTGGGCATACAAAAATACCCCATGTATGTTCCGCCATTTTTGTAGTTTTCGAGTTATAATTTTTTTTGTGTTTTCTGCCAGCGAGGTTTCAAAAATTCCTATCTTTTTTTGTTGTAGGTATTTTGCAGTTTTTTTCTGTGAAAATCTAAAATTAGTTAAAGCTACTCAAAAAAATGTTTTAAAGTTAGAAATTTAGTTTTTAGCTGGATGTGCCCAAACATTCGACTTCAATTTAAAATACAAATAGAAGTTTCCATAGCTTCCATAGCATAGGTTCTAAGCTACCAAAATCATAGAAAAAATGGTACTTAATTGGTATTTTTTTGTTGTAATCGGTGGAATTTTTTTGGTGGATAGGCTAAAAATCATTGAAGCATTAAAAATGTTTTTTTTTCGACTTTTATTATTCTTATGGTAAATAAAACTGTATAATGTGATTTTAATTAATTTTAATACCCGTACAAAAAAGGAGCTTTCCTTCGGGTAAACCAGCTCTTTGAAAAATCCCCAAACGTTGTGGTTATGTATTCGAGTTGGAGGAAGGAGTTTTGAAAATTTATTATAATAAATAGTATTTTTTCAGTAAATTGTGTTTTTTATTTGTTATTAAAAAAACAGGTAATTTCACAACTAGCAATAATCATTTCGAATAACATTTTGAATTTTGAGTGGTAAGACCAAAATTATTGTAAGAATTACACGAGCTACTTTTTTTTACGGGTATTAAAATTAGTAAAAAATAGATCGTAAAGTTTCATTTGCCATAAGAAAAATTAAAAAAAAAAAAACAGTTTTAATGCTTCAATGATTTTTTGCCTATCCATATTAAAAGGCCGATTACAGCTACATTTATTTTACGGGTATTAAAATTATCACGTACGGAATGGGAAGCCTATTTATATTACATAACCGTGGTGAATACAGCTAGAGGTATGTCGAGGGGTATTACGCTAAACTCCGCAAAAGTGAATAGATGGTACGACAAAGGATTCCATCAAACAAAATAGAAACAGACAAAATACATATATTTAATAACTAAATCAATTTTTCTGTAACGTGTTTTCCCGAAACGCGTTATTACGTTATTTACGTCAACGGGTACCAGTCCGGTTAGGCGATCGTCAACCATTGAAGATCTTAGCCACGATTTAATTCTGCGCAACGTAGAGAAAGACCTTTCTGCTGTCGCTTCGCTGACAGGGTATCCAATTTTCTTATATTAGGATACATATTGATGTCACAATTTAAAATAAGACTATGTTATGTTATGTTGAAGTTTAGTCGTTCCGATTCCGATTGAGGTAAGGTCTAGCTAGACGTTTCATAGTCGACAAGCGCGCGCAAGTGTGGCGCGGAAATTTCAAATTCGATGCGTTCGTTCCCAAACGTTTGCCATCATACAAAGTTATTATATTATATTAAATTAATTAAATATTGAAGGTATGTAACATATAATCTGTATGGTGGCAAATTTATATATAAAATCATTATGTTCAATTAGTGGTCTACCTAAGTCCTGCTCAGGGGGGGGGGTCATGACCCCCCCCCTGGATCCGCCGTTGGATATAGGTAGTGTAATTTACCTATATACAATTCATTGCAAAAAAATTAAACCGATTTCAAAAAAGGAGGAATCAAGTTTCATATAATAGATATGTGATATTGTTGGAATTGAATAATCTTTGAGATGACGATGTAATTTCACGAATTTCTCTAAAACTAAGTCATCTAAATGACATAAGGGTTCCAGTGAACACTAATCGAAAGTAACTAGTATCTAGGTGTAGGGTGATCACGGTAACTAAGTAAATAATTTAATTGTAATTTTTTTCCTAATAAAGGAATGAACCAAATATTAAATCGAAATATCCGTCAATAATAACAATTATGAATAATGGGACACTGCTGCATGGTCATATTATTACAGTAGAACCTCGATAACGTAAACCTCGGTAACATAAAAACCTCTGTTACTTCAAAAAATACTATGTTCCCTTCCCATCAGAGCCCAAAACCTCTATAACTTAAAATACGCAACCTCTATAACGTAAATAAATAATCTCTGTATAGGCCCTCAGTAACTAAAAGAAATGTTTCCACAACCTCTATAACATAAAATTGTTTGTGAATGAGTCATTTTATAAGAGTGTCAAAACAAATGGTTTCGGTATTTATTGCTTGCACGTGTTTACTAATGTATTGTTAACGTAAACAATACATTACCTATTGTTTGCTTTATCTAAATTCTTCAAAGCTTTGCGGCGGTTAGCTTTGTGACAACGACTTACTTGCATCATAAGTTAATGTGTTAATGTATTCTCCTCTCTATTTGTCATTGAAAATCAAATCGATTATAAACAGTGAATTTTTAAAACAAAAGAAAATCACAGTTTTTTTAAGTAGACTAAACCTTTAGTTGTTGTTTTATTTTTATGTAATGTAAGTAATGTGAATAAATATGATTAAATATTTAATTTTCCATCCTTCTGATGCATTCAAGTAAAAATGGGAGGAAGGGTACATAGAAACATGTACATACCTCTATATTAGCCTTTACCTGACACAGAACCTTGATAACTTAAAACCTCGATATCATAAAATATTTTGTGTTTCCCTTGGACTTTATCTTATCGAGGTTCTACTGTATTACATCTCAGTTATATCAGGCTCAGTTAAAGCTAGAGTTCTCTCCACACAGTTGAACAATCATGTTTCTTCTGCGAATACGTTTTCGCATCTTTAGTCTAGTAGTTAAAAATAAAACAAAGATAACTAAAAACATTTATTATCCACCAAATATATACAATAACCTAAAACCCTAGAAAACAGTTCCGCTAAATATAATTCAAATGCATTGAAATTGTGATGGCTTCATTATAACAACATCAAGACTTTTATACAATGCGTTTATTTACTTTTTCATTGCATGGTCACGACTGCGGGCCATTTATAATTTTGAGTCTTGTTAATATCACTAGGATGGGTATCAGCTGCAAATTGTCAATGATACTGCAATGACCGCCAGATGTGACCATTCATTTACAACAATTTAGTCTAGTGACCATGCCGTATTATTAATCATCTCGCTTTTATCTGGAAGTATTTCCTTTGTAAACAAATCAAATTTCATTAATATAACAAGTCAAGATATTCCTCAATCGAATCCATATATTTTTTTTTATAAACAGACAAACTTATTTGGCTGTTTACAATATAAAACCTAAATTTGATTTCTAATTTTTACATCTCTTTAGAGCACTCAATATAATTGCATAATTTTTTGTAAAACTCTTTTGAAGATTGACATCTTGCACTAACACAGTGGGGACATCTGAAAAAAAAACAATAATAAAAAAATGGCATTCCATATTTAAAAACAACAAAAATAAAAAAAAACTGCATTCCATTTTAGAAAAAAAAAACAATAATATAAAAACAAATACATTCCAGTTTCAAAAAAAACAACAATTTAAAAATAACCATTCCATTTTTGAAAAATTAACCACCAAGCTCAATTAATTATTATCGAAACAATCCTATATAAATATTATAAATCTTAAAGTTTAGTAATTGATTAAATAAGTTATTTATACAAAACATTAACCAACTTAAAAATGAGGTTACCTCTTTGACTTGTTACAATTTATGATGATATTGTTACAATTAAAGATTTATTTACTAACTATATATTATTTATAATCTTAATATATATAAATAACTTGTCACGTTGTTTGTCCGCTATGGACTCCTAAACTACTGAACCGCTTTCAATCAAATTTGCATATCGTGTGCGGTTTGATCTAACTTAAAAGATAGGATACCTTACATCTCAATTTATAACCGAAATATTATTTTATTGCAAATTATTTGATAGTCACAATTCTAACAGATGGCGCTGTGTTGAAAGTATCAACTTTCAAATAAGCTACAATTGAATGTCATAACCACCAAAAAAGCATGGTGGTCTCCATGACTGGTGTTCTCCTACCGTTTCCCTTGTATAGTTTACTACTATGTAATATAACAAAAACCTTAGCCACAGCAACGCTTGGCCGGTCTGCTACTTATATTATATAAGTTAAATTCTTTGTTTTTTTAATGGTATGTCTTGGTTGGAGGAAAAAGCTACCTTTGTAAGGCCACCCATTTTTAGATCCATTATGTTGTATGTAAAGTGGTATTACTTGATGATGCTTCCAAGTGTGTGTGCCAATTTGTATGTGCATCTTTGTTTTTGCTAATTTCAACATGGAATGATTTGTAATGAAATGATTTAATTTTTAATTTTTGTAAGACTTGTGTATAGGACACCGTCTGTTGGGTCCGTTAATATTATAAACATTATTAAAAAACTATTCAAACTATTGATGAAGTTTGACACATTTGACATTAGAAATTGTGACTAGAGATATATATTGGCATTTTGAATATTGTGTTTAAACAAACATAAATATACCTGGACAAAAACTGTCGGGACACACTTGGTCCAGTTGTTAAGTGCTTGGACACAACATCAGCCATAGCTGCTATGAATGTGGGATGGTCGTTGGGTGCTGCAGCCCTCTCTATTTGTTTAACACCTGCCTGTAAATAATAACATATATATATTGTTCTCGTGTTACAGTGTAAGCAAACTTCTCCAAAACGGCTTGACAGATTTTAATAAATTTTTGTTTATATTCAGTAGGTGTGTAGATCAGAGGGGTTGTAAACTATTTTTATATACCTAAGTGGTAAGGGGACACCTCAACTTTTTCTGACATTAGAAATTAAAAATACCAATAGAACCATTAATTTTAATCCTTCTATCAGGTTCCAGTATATTATTTGAACTCTTAAATATATTGTATATACATACCGGGGTCATACTTAAACCTATGTTTAATATAGATACATATATATATTATTTGAACCCTTCTATATAAACTATACTATAATATATAATAGACATAGCTCTAAGTATGACCCCGTCTGACAAATAAAAGAACTTTAGAACGAAAATCATGGTTCCTAAGTCTGAGTTTATGAGTCTTGTCTTGACTCTGAATTTTATCCTAAACCAAGGGGGTTTTAACACATACTTATGATATTTTTAAAACAAATCTAATTTGATAAACTATTGCCAGATTATGGTACATTACTTTTAATATTCCACTTCCATATGTTTCTTTCTGACTCAGCCTGCCATTTTTATTGTCATAACAGATTATTATATAATAAATTACCATAGACTATAAAAACTGCGCGGACTATAAACAAAATCTTGGTTCAAACTTCGAAAACTTTATATCAAACAATTAAAATAAAATTACACAATCGTCTCTTTGTCCCAAATCGTATCTACAGAATTATGAAAATACCGTTCAAATCAGAATAGTTTTCCTACTTACTAATAGATGGCGCGATACATTAACTTAAACGCGCTTAGCGAAATACATTCCTTAATTTGTATACTAGCCCCGCACGTTGATATTGCGATGTAACCTTGTCACAATAACAGCTGCGTGACATCATCCACCGCAGAAAAGACACATACAGACAACAAAAAAGTTAATTATTCATTTATTTGCTTGAACAATATGTAACGGTAATCTTCTTTTCGTGTGAGGTGTTGCCACCTCTGGTGAAAAAAGTTTATAGTCTAGGGTTATATTATAGGTATTTATATTATATTACATACATATATTTATAGGTATTTAATTATAAATATTTCCTATAAAATTACCTGCTAATATTATAAATGTGAAAGAGGTCTTGTCTGTTTGATACATTTTCAATTTGAATGGGAACTAATAAATAATATGATAACAAAAATAAAAAGCAATAAAAAACAGGTGGTAAATGTACTCAATACGCGCAAGGGCTGGCTGACCATGCGCACGGTACTGACACTGACAGTTCGACTACGTCACTAAGATGGCCGCCAGTCGCAATATCAACGTGCGGGACTAGTAACTGTTTAAATTTTTTATTAATGTGTTGACAATTTCCTTCAGGCTAAAAGCGATATTCTTATTTAAAAAAAAAATTATATGAGAGCGACTTTACCTCTTTAGCGACTTCATCACAATACTCAATGTCCAACTCGTGTAACGTCTCAATATGTTCATTGACGAACGCTATTGGCACGAGGATCATGTGTTTGACTCCCTTCTTTGCGTATGACTGAAAAAATTTATTATTATTCATACATGTGTTACAACTATAAATTTATTTATCGATAAAAATATTTATAACATTTCCTTATCTGTGGTTCATATGAACTGTCAAACTTCATAGAGACAGTAGTTTGACAGCTCCTGAAATTAAGATTTAAGTTTAAACGTTTTAGGATTCTTATATCTCTAATATATAAACTTCTCGGATCACAATGTTCGTTCCCATACTCCTCCGAAACGGCTCGACCGATTCTTATGAAATGTTTTATACATATTCAGTAAGTCTGAGAATCGGCTACTATCTTTCAAACTTCTTAATGCTAAGGGTGATCCCACCCCTATTATTTTTTCGACAATTTTTTTTTATGTTACAGCATACAAAAATACATACAACCCTTAATTGTCACCCCTCTACGATCAACCCCTATTTTTTATTACATTAGATAGTTATTTTTATTGAACTAATAAAATATTTCCTAGAAATAATTTTTATAGACGTTTGCCGGGTCAGCTAGTATATATCTATATATACAGATTTTATGATATGATTTTGAGGCAAATAGGGCACGCAAATCGAATAATTTGTGTTCCCTCTTACTATATTATATATAAAAATGAATTGTTGTTTGTTTATTTGCTAAAATAAGAGCATGTCTGGACATGGCTAATTGGCTCTTAAAAATATTTGTGGAATGTTTAAACGGCGAGAAACACGACCTAGTAAAGGAAAAACGACAATTTAATTATCTAGTATTTTTTTTTATAGAACTGGGGGCAAACGGGCAGGAGCCTCACCTGATGTTAAGTGATACCGCCCATGGACACTCTCAATGCCAGAATGCTCGCGAGCGCGTTGCCGGTCTTTTAGGAACGTTCTAAAATGTGAATTTGATGTCCAGTGACGGTAATACAAGTGAAATAATACCTTAATAGCATCATCAGTGTATGGCTGAAGCCACGGTAAGGGTCCGACCTTCGATTGCCACACAAGCCTATGAGGGTTCGGTACTTGGAGTTTGCTCATGGTGGCTGAAACTGAAGCTGCTATCTCATGAGGGTATGTGTCTCCACGGGATACCGCCTAAAGTGATAAAGAGTTCAAAGGTCACCTAATCCCGTGTTGTTCCAGTAAGGGAGCGTTCAAGTATTACGTCACGCAATTTTTGGAGATCATTGACCCGCCCTCCATGTAACGCGCCGTAACGTTTTTCTGTACCCAATAGTAAAACGTTTCGTGACCACCCAGTGACTCTTTATAGCTAAATGTTACCATTATGTGGTGTAAAGTACTGGAAAGTCGAATAAAAATATTAACAATATTAACATCCCCGCCCCGCATCGTAACGTTTTACAAGAGGACCCCCCCCCCCAAAATTAGTTACGTAATACTTGAATGCTCCCTAATGTCAGTGCATGCGTTTGGTTTTCCTATTTATCATAATTAACTGCTTAAATTGTTATAAAACTCGTCGGTTAGAAATAAAAAACTAACTGTTGAAGTCGGAGCAGTGTTGGCCTAGTGGCTTCTGCGACTCTCATCCCTGAGGTCGTACGTTCGTTCCACGGCTGTGCACCAATAGACTATCTTTCTATGTGCGCATTTAACTTTTGCTCGTACGGTGAAGGAAAACATCGTGAGGAAACCGACATGACTTAGACCCAAAAAGTCGACAGCGTGTGTCAGGCACAGGAAGCTGATCTTTGCCTATTAGATTTAAAAATGACCATGAAACAGATTCAGAAATCTGAGGCCCAGACCTAAAAGAGGTTATAGCGCCACTGATTTATCTATTTTATTTAACTGTAACATGAAGCGACGATGTTTCTCCGACATACCTTACCTCCATTTTTAAAGTCTTACCTTCAATGGTAAACTATGCGCAGTGAACATAATCATGACATCATCTCTGACACTCCCATCAAATAGCTTCAACTTCTCTTTTATTCGATCAGCGAAAACCGTGGCTAAGAGCTCATTAGTTCCCCACCGTTCTATCAAACTGAATTTTATATTCGGCTGTTTCCTGTAATGAATGCATGTCAAAGATATAGGCTTAGTGGCTTTAGCGTGCTACTCTCATCTATGGTATTCCATTCTATGTGCGCTTTTGACAATTGACATTTTCACAGATCACAGTTAACACAGACAAATCGCATAAAAATTAGACATAAAATAAATTGTTAAATTTGCATTATTATAAACGAGCACTTAGCAGACCGGCCAAGCGTTGCTGTGGCTAAGGTTTTAGTTATATTACATAGTAGTAAACTATTCAAGGGAAACGGTAGGAGAACACCAGTCATGGTGACCACCATGGTTTATTGGTGGTTATGCCATTAAATTGTAGCTTATGTGAAACGTTGGTACTTTCAACACATCGCCATCTGTTAGAATTGTGACTATCAAATAATAAACAAATATTTTGCAAATAAATAATATTGCGGGTATAAATTGAGATGTAAGCTATCCTATCTTTTAAGTTGGATCAAAACTGCACACGGTGTGCAAATTTGATTGAAATCGATTCGGTAGTTGAGGAGTCCATAGCGGACAAACAACGTGACACGTAATTTATATATATTAAGATTATAATAAAATCTAATACTGTATATTTTGCGGCGAAACATATGACATACTTACTTTAACACTTCGTTACCATAATATACAAATAAAAAACAAAAAAAGCAGGTTACATAAGTTCGGGCGGCCTTATCGCTAACAAGGGATTTCTTCCAGGCAACCCTAATATGGAACAATAAAAAAAGAAACACCTACAGCGGGTGAAGTGAAAGAAGTACATAATTAACTAACAAAAAAAAAAACATTTAAATATAACTAAAATGAAATAAAGCAAAATCTACAGAAAAAAATATAAATAATAAATTGTGCGTGTACTAGGTGTACACACGTAAGAAGTGAAACTTCTTTATGATCTTATTTTTCGAAAAATGATTTACTATATGCAACTTTACAGAAATTCGTTAAATTAGATAAAGTTTAACAAAAGGCTTTTATTATCATAGACATGAATACAAATATTTCATTTTACCTTATTACTATGAAGATTATTATAGAATTTCATTAATTGTAATATAATTATTACTATCATTGAAAAACGTGACGATTTGCTACAAAATTTCTCCCATACGTCGATAAAGAAGTTTCATTCCAACGCCGATAAAGAAGTTTGACTTCAAAAAGCAACATGGCGCGTAACCGAAAAATGTGACGCGTAACGAAAAAATGTTACACTAAATTTTTTTCCAACCTCGATAAAGAAGTTTCACTTCAATAATATGTATAAACAAAAATGTGAAAGGTAATTCAAACGTTAAATGAGTCATATTACTTAGACCCGTGTAACATATATAATTTTTAATTAAATAAAATTGTTCAATTCAGAAACTTAAATGATAGGTATAAGGAAATTGTTGACGAAACATAGTAAGTAAACTTTCAAAACATAATGAAAAACTGAAACTTAAATTCCAAATAATTTTAATACATTTTTCTTCACCACTTGACAATCACATTGCTCCTCTGTGGGTCGTGAGCCCCACGTTGAGAAACACTGATTTCCATAGACCATTTTACACATTAGTCTATAATCTATAGTCTATAGATTATAATAATTATTTCTAGTACGCAACTCACTTGTCCTTATAGAAGTCAGCTATCGCGTTCAAACTCGACCCAGTGGTTGCACAACTATATTGTGGGTATTGTGAGAATATCACAGCTCTTTCCACACCGTCACTTGAACAGAAATAATTTCTTGTAAGAATTCACATACATGTGCAAATAGTTATTATTTATTATATTAGGCCTTTTTCCAAATGTTGTGTACACTTGGCTCAGAACATGTATTTTTAAAATGTTTTAATTACACTTCATTACACAGAGTTAAAAAATAATAACAATAAACTTAAATAAATATAGTTTAAAAAAAATTGGGTTGCTCGATAGACGAAAAATATGGCACAGAGCGCGTCACGCTTTTTCACAATAATACCAGTATTTTTTGTTCATTACCATTTTTTTATATTTTTCACTTTTAAGTTTGATGTGCTTTAAAAGCGTGTCTTTTAGTTTTTTTTAAACTATATTTATTTTCCACTTTTTAGTCCCAGCAGCAATACGTGTTGTCTCAATTTAATCGTATTGCTTTGTGGACTTAAAAAAATTTCATTGTTTTTTCGAGATAAACCTATGAAATTATTATATTGTCGCTGATTCTTTATAAGTGTACAAAGTTTGAATTAAATCTGTCCGTTTAATGTGGGTCAAAATCGAGTCCGAAGGAGTCGGTTACATACATACATACATACAGGTGAAGCTAATATAAAGCGTGTAAAAATAAACATGGTGCTAGCGATGTCTTCCAGAAGAAATGCAAGAGTGCGATACTTAATTTAAAATAAAAAAAACAATAAAATACTAATAAAGACAACTCATACTCACTCAAAATACCTTTATTCATGTAGGTAAACAAGTACAATTATGAATTATTGTCAGAAAGAAGTTACATTAATTGTAAATTTACTACCAGTTCGCAAGTCAAGGGCGTAGAGCGGGTAAGAAGAACTGGCAAGAAACTTTCCGCCACTCTTTTTAATCGCCAAGTATTGAGTCATACAAATTGTTTGAACTGGAGCAGATCAATCCCAAGGATTAGGATCATTTAAGTATTCCTCAAATTTATAAAAAGCTTTGATTAATTTTCGTTTAACGAGGGCAACAATAACTGATAGAAGTTAAAATTATTCGAAAGCAAACAGAGCGTAAACTCTAAAAACCCAAATTTCTGTATTAATTTAATATTAAATCATAACACCAAAAAATTCAAATACAACAAAAAAAATCCATAATAATAATAAAAATACTTACGCCTCCATCGCCTGAAGTGCATCATCAGTAAATGGTGGTACATATCTAAAGGCTATGTAGTGTTTGTGCGGTGCAGACTCAGGTAACATTTGGTCTAAGGCTTCTGTTAGCAATTTGCCTGGAATAACAAATAAGGGAGCGTTCAAGTATTACGTAACGCAATTTTTGGAGATTGACCCCCCCCATGAACTCGCCGTAACGTTTTTCAGTACCCAAGTCTCGTAAAGCGTTTCGTGACCACCTTGTGACTCTTTAGTTACTATTATGTGGTGTAAGTAGAAAATAATATTAACAATAACGCGTTATTCAATCCCCGCCCCGCATCTGAACGTTTTACAAAAGGACCCCCCCCTCCCAAAATTCGTTACGTAATACTTGAATGCTCCCTAATACAATCATACTTTTATTTAGGATTTGTAGAAAATTTTACTCAGTAATCCTAAGTACTCAGTTAATTTCCTTAACGTCAGGACATATCTGTTTAGTGCATATTTCCTTAAAATATAGTTGATCAGCATTCCAAATAAACGACGATAAATGACGACTCATTGGTCTAGTGGTTAGCACCCCTGACTGCGAAACCATGGGTCCCGGGTTCGATCCCCGGCTGAGACGAACATCGATGTGATGAGCATTTGATGTTGTGCTTAGGTCTTGGGTGTTTAAATATGTATTTATATGTCTATCTATCTATAAAATGTATGTATATCCATTGCCTAGTACCCATAACACAAGCTTCACCAGCTTAGCATGGGACTAGGTCAATTGGTGTGAATTGTTTTAAAAAAAAAAAAAAATAAAAACAATTTCCAATATTTCATCTCCGGCAATTGAATCAACTCGGACTCAAATATTTTAAATTAACTAAGTGTTAGTGGTAACTTCAACAAAAATCTTTATTATTAATTATGATCCCTTGCTATATAATAACATGGTAATACTTAAATACCTTGTAAATCTGTCCATCTATAAATCGGTGATCCTCCACCAATTTCCTGATACTTCTTTTTTACCTCCTCAGTTCTCCGACTAGCTATCCACGGTCCTAACTTACTTTGAACTGGCAATTGTATCATATCACGATCTGTCATTATTCTATGAAGATAATCTCCAACCTGTATTGTTATTAAATTTAAGTAAATAACTAGCATTCATTAGCAATACACAGCAAATGTATTATATAAACAACTTCTTTGCATAATTATAAAATATACATTTATGTTTATATACACACAAACTATTAAAATGAATAGATAGTACTCACTTACGTGAGTTGGTTTATGCCAACAAAACATATATCAGTGAAACATAATTTATATGTCACTAATATAAATTATGTTTCACTGATATATGTCAATCATTTGAATTTTATATGATATAATAATTATATTTTAATTTGCTAGATTCCATGAAGTGAGAATGGGTTAAATAAAGCATTTTCTTAAATTGTCACCAGAGTAGAAGACTAGCCTTTTTAGGGAATCGTCTGTGCAGAAAGAGAACTATTGTTGCATTTGAAGTTGTAGTAACTACCTCTAGTTACATAGACGTTGACGACATTTTGATACTGAATATGAAAAAACAAAATAAGTTTATAAGACATGTATGCCAATAAGAATTACATATATGGTTCTCTTTCTGCACAGAATTTAGTAGTATCGTGAAAGTCAACTGTGAGACCCACAATGGGCCAATTGGATTTCAATATGGTTAGCTTTAATAACATTTTTATATAAAATTTCTTTTTACCACACCTGATCTACCGTTTGTGGTCCTCCCATGTTTAACATAATTATGGCAGTTTTGGGTTTATGAGATTTACTTGCACATCTAACATTGCACAATAACTGGGGTAGAATTTTAGCATTCTTCTGACCTATAATACCAATAAATAAAATTTAAATGTAATATTTGTACATCAAGTAATTCATATAAAATTATAAATCACAAATAATGAGTTTTAGTTTTTCTTCCATTAACCATTCAGGTTCATTTACAGTATTTTTAAACACCTTAATTATAATAAATTATGCACACTAAACAACATTTGAGCATAGGAGTCTCATCCCTTAGGATGAAATTAAGAAACAGGTTACAGGACTGAGCATGAATTCAATACATGTTTTACAGTCAGATTATTATTTGAAATGAGACTTAAATACAAAAAGTCATCAACCTCATACATTGTATAAAAACTATGATATTTTATATTTTACAAGTTTCACAAATTGAGTATTTATGGCGCAATATATTTTTTTTAGTATTTCACTATATATATATAACTGAATCTTGCATTATAAATAATTAAGTTAGGTTATTTTAATTAATTTATGGTAACTTTTTAGTTTACATGAACAAAAAAAAATACTTACAGATTAAAGACAGCATTTCTAAACGTGTCTGTTGTTTCGAATTACGGAAGTGCACTGAATTTTAATTTATTAAAAAATATTGATTGTACAAACCGGTTAGGTTAGATAAAAAATATTAGATCCAGTTTAAAAATTCTCGAAAAAAATCGAATAACACGAGGTTGAACAAAATTTTCAGCCACTAAGCTAACAATCGGTAATTCAATATTAATTTTTTAATTGTATTTAGTAGCTAAATTACAACTATCAATTTTTTTTTATTTGTTGTGATTAGTTTTAGTACTTTGTAGTTTGTACTTTGTGAATTGTGATTTTATGAAAGTGTAAGATGTATATTGACAGTAGATATTATACTTTATACTCTACCAACAGAGAAAAATCTGTTACCAGACTATAAAACATTCAAATTAAAAAGAAAATCATCTGTTATATACCATTGATTTACTTTTACATTAAAATCCCATGAAAACGTATTTAGTTGGGCCTAAAATATAATTTTAATTATAACTACACAAAAAAGAGGATTGTATAATAATCCATGGACAATAAACAAAATTTAAAATGTCAATGTCCACAGTCAATTATCAAATTGTGTATTTTTTTTATTGTGATTTGTGATTTTAACTTTTGTGTTTTCGTGGTGTTTTCTTATTACTTTTGTTGTCCTTTTTACGGTAATCTCTTTTAAGATGTCCTGTCGTAATGCCTCACATGCTGGTAGCTGGTACACAGAAAATGGTATGAACTTTTAAATATATTATTACGGCAGTGTTCCAGATAGGTTTCAAGTTTTTGGTGTGGCACAAAATGTGAAGGAACAATAAGTGTTCACTATTAAAAAGAGTACAATAAATACATAATAATACAAGTAGTATTTTTCATGGTTTATACTGTAAGTTTAATACATATAAATATTAGAACATATTTTATTAAAATGAGATGTAAAAGAAAATAATATAGTTATTTCTAATTTCTCGTGATATTAATCAAAATTAGTATAATGTTTTAAAAGGTGAAATCTGATTAAAAATATAAATAACTATAACTAAGGTCAAATAAAGTTAAAAGTTCATTGAATTGTGATGATTTGACACATTCGTTCAGAAACACCACTTTTTTTTAATGTTTCATTTATTATTAAATTTAATGTTTGCATTGAATGCAAATGGAATGTAGTTTATTTTATTTTATTAGCAATGGATCAAGATTATAGTTATCATTACATACCATTATTACGGTTTTGTTCGAACTTTGATGTTTCCAAACGGGACTAAGCGGTCACCGGCGTAGTCATGACAGCAGTTTAAAACAACAGTTAATTGTCAATCACGTAACGATCAACGATTTTTGTATTGTTTCGGGATTTGGGTTCATAATTTTTTGCTTCTGTATTATACTAAGCTAATTTGAAAAAAATATTCATAATGGATAAAAATGCAATGGGCCCACCGAAAATCCTAAAAACATCAAGACGTCAATCAGTTCTGCCATCTACGTCGAAAAAATTATCGGCGAGGGATCCAAAAATACGACAAAATGTGAATGCAACTGTTATCAATGATTCCAGTGTTTTCGTTGATAATGATGGAGAAGATTTAGCTATGGAAAGCATTACACAACAGTGTCTACGTGATGTACTCGCCGATTGCTTGGTAGATATGAAAATAAAACGTGAAGAAACCGATATTGATATTCAAATCACGCAGTTGGCTGACCGCTTTGGTAAAACTGTTGAACAGTTGGAGAAAACCAACAGGCGGTTAAAGGATATATCGTTTGTTGTGGAACAAAAGAGGTAAGTTACAAGTATATACTGGTGAATATTTATTTTCTAATATTTATTTCTACAAAAGCTACTTTAGGAATTTCAATTAAGCCTGTACATTACTTTTATAATGGTTGTTACTATAACAATGTGAAATGGATGTGGAAAGCGCTCCTTAATAATAAAAAAAAGGGTCCGTGTACTTATGTACGCGCGTTAGAAGTTATACTTCTTTGGCAATATTAAAAATAGTTTGGCTTTGTTCCACCTCCAGTTTTTGATGTTTCACAGCGATAAGATGAAAACTCTTTTTTTGTATTCAATTTAGTGCAGTTACACTGATTCATCCATTGTTTTTTGTCTCTTTTCCTTATATTTGCTAGATAAAATCAGAAAAATTACATGTTTTGATTAAACAATGTGGTTAATTTTTTAATCAAAACATTACTCGATAATAATAATAATACATACGGATAGTTAACCTCAATTGTATTGAAGCACTTAGGAAGGTTGATGAGCACAGTTTTTTCACAAATATTAACACGTTGAACGCCATGGGGGTCATCGGTGACCTCATCATTCCTCTATCATAGCGCCATGGGGGTCACCGGTGACCTCAAGTTAAAGACATATTCAAACCGTTTTTACTCGCCGTCTGCCATACCCACTGTTGATTTTAAAGTACTATGTGACCGGCACGGCGCCGTAGAACAATACTTCGCATTGGGACAAATGTACCTAGATAGGACATTGAAAAAATCGAAATATTTTAAAAAAGAAGCAAAAATAAAACAAAAATTAGCAGAAAGTATGGTGTGTTGTGTACCAATATTACTGAAAAATAAAATTTATCTTTAGAAAAACTAGGAAATTGCAAAGTGTAAAAAAGTTCGGAAAATCCACAAGTGCACGCCTTACAACAACCCAACCCTTAGAAATATTAATATTTAGCCCTAATTTTATCAAATAATACAGTAAAAGTTGATGAGAAAACATGTCAGAAAGAAAAACAATAACAAAACATGCATACAGGGTTCACAATTATGTCAACCTAAGCCCAAACCGTTTTATGGTAATTTTACGATGATTACGATTTTTTTAAACCGCCCATTTTACGGTTCTCTGCAATGCCGAAGAATGGGCACCTATTTGGTCACTCATATCTACAGACCCTTCGGATTTATTATGATCCAATATGATCTTCGGCTTCCGAATCTGTTTGCCTTTTTACTCTACCACAGCAAATTTGTCGAAAGCAAAAGCACGTCCCTCTTATCCTTCCATTTTAACACCGTTACTCCGTCTTCATTCTCCACAGCCATTATTTTACCTTTCTACAGTTCTGAATTCTAGAACAGCCTAACCCTCTTGTTTTTTCGCAAAGTGCCGATTAAATGGGTTTGTTTCTCCAATAACCTAGTTCTAAGCTTGTATACCAGTTGTCAGTTGCAAGTAAGTATGTATAACCTAACGTCTTTTTATTTTCGGTATTAGCATCTGTTCGCTATCTGATTCTGAGTGGCAATCATTGTTTCTCAAAGGGTTTGTTGTAAAATAATATGCTAACGCGTTGATTTGTAAATTCTAATTCCTCCATAGCTAAGCCAATACCTAAGGATCTCGTACATTATTAACGCAACCTAAAATAAGTTCGTTATGTAGCGAAAACAAATTTAGTAGGAAACTAATAGAAAGAGCAAAGCAGAGGCAATCGTCGCAAGCGCGAGCGCACTAACACTGTCGAAGTGAATAGCGGGTGGCCGGCGGGGTAGGCGGCACGGCGCAGGGTAACGGAAAATGTATTTTCTGTATTTGTGCGCCATGGGGTGCACCGGTGACCTCAGTTATATATTTGGCTGTAACTATGTAACCCATGGGCAGAATTTAATAAAACTAATTTTCTATACATATATTATCATAATAAACAAATTACAGCAAAAAAGTTTTTTTTACGATTTTTGTTTTTTTCTATTGGCGTTTAACGTGTTAATTAGTATTGGTTTAAATATTCAATTTAAATCACTTCTGATTATAATTCAAAAAGCATCGCTAAATTTCTTTGAAAAAATAATTAAAACTCCTTTATTTGTTTAAAAGGTAAATGACAAATGTCATTATGGTCATTCAAAATTGTTGGCATACGAACTTCACGCATATTGTATTTCTTTTTACTTGTAGATTGTCTTATTCCTATCTCGCTCGCACACGCTATAATCACACTCCTAATTTTGTGTCACGGGTGCGCGCCCATTGTAAAATTTCACTCTCATAAATTTTTCATAACGCGCCTAAAGAAGTATAACTTCAAAAACTTGAAAAATAATCAAAACTGATTTGAACTCTATTTATATAACTAAGAAACTTTTGTGTTTCTCTGAAATTAATGCTTTTGTGTCTGTTTCAGGCTTCTGGATTTAAAAACTATAGACTGTTCAAGATTCCATGAAACTATTGAAGAATCTGGGGTCACAGATATCCTAAATAATCTGGCAACTTCAGAACAGGCATATCTTGACAAACTCGAGACTAAAAACATAGATTTTGGTTACAACAAAGAAACTGGTCATAAACAACTTCTAGATGCGGTAAATGATGCTATTGATGGCTTGGAAGAAATAAAAAAACACTCTGGCCTAGACATAGACAAGTTGAAGCAGTTTGAGGTTACACAAACAATGTTAGATGAGGTTGAGAAGGAAAAGTTTGATATTGACAATTTAAAATCTGAATTTGAGAAAAAGTTCCCTAAATTTTGTGATAAGTTACTCCAAGAAGTTTCAGAAAAAGTGGACACTATGTTGAAGTCTGATTAATGTTATTTATACTTTTATAATGTTAAAGATATTTAGCGAAAATTAAATTGTGTTTATTCTTTTTAGTTGTTTAACTATGTGAATTTATTCAGTTTTTATATATAGGTTGACAAATTTTTAAAATTATTAAAAAATATTACATTGTAGGTGACAGGTTGTTCCAGCATTCTATCGATAAGTACTCTAAAAAGACAAACTGAATGCTTGTTGTGTACCAATGCCAATATTCTAATTTTATATTAATAGAATCATTAATGTAATTTAAAATAGCATAAAAATCATATCTATCTTATATGTTATGTCAAGGTCTGATCTATCAAGATAAAGTATATCTATTAAGTTAAATTTGTAGTATGTCTAAGTTGGAATAAAACTAATTAAAATTAAAGGATGTGTGTATGTATATTTAATTAGTGTCTCAGTTTTCGGGAAATAACATACAATTTAGCATATTGCAAAAATATCATATATATAAGTCAAACTGATTGATTGATGAGAACCTTCCCTTAAAGATGATTAAAAATAATCTGAAGCAAAACTTAAACAAGAATAACTATTATTTCAGGGTCTGAATTATCGAGACAATTAGATCTATGGCTGTCGAAAGCTGATCTTACTCATGGACCGGCGCGTGCGATTATTGCCCCGTAAGTAATAAGTAAAGTGATTGTAGTATCTTTAGAGTCGAAGTTTGAAGCATAAAAATCAGTGCCGAGTAACTAGACTAAGTCTAGTTACCTAGCTAGTGATGCCAACCCCTACAGAATGTTCCCTATAAGACCAATTTCAAATACCCCTGAATATCAATTAAAAACCCGAAAGGTTTTGGTTGTAATCGCTTTGAGAGGTAATTGCAAATATGAATTAAAAATACATTCTAGTATAATCTTGGAGTATTAAATAGCTTTTCCTTATTTTAGTTTTAGTCACGCTTGAACTTTATATTTAGTTTAATTAAAACTAAATTGTATAGAATCGTGTTTTATTAATTTAAAAATTTCTTGAATAAGTTAAAAGCCGCCTGGATATAGAATTCTTTTTATATTATTTTAAATAACTTAGGAAGATAATGATAACAATGACAATTTTGACAGACATGCCGGCTACTCGTATTGCGGCGCCTGCGCAGCATTCGCTTATAGACAAATTAGCCCAGTGGTGGTGTGAGTATTAATACATTGTTTATACATAATTGAAAACCTTAAATCTCATACTCCCCCATCGCAAGCCCCAATTCGGGCGACGTGTTTCTAAATCGTTACCATGTTTTTTTATAATTTTCAGAAAACGTATCTTTATACTGGGTCCTTCGCATCATGTCAGACTTGGAGGCTGTGCGCTTTCATCTCTAGATAAATATGCTACACCGCTGTATGATCTCACCATAGATAAGCAGAGTAAGTCCGGCAAACAATGTTTTTATTTTTAAATTAAAAGGTTTTGCATATTCTAAAACAAGTCTCTCTTTATTTTAAATTGCTTTTTATTATCTTTGTATATTTAAATTTTGTGTGTTTGTATATTCCTAAACGGCTGGATCGATTTTAATAAAATTTGTGTGTTACACTGGATTCGAATGGTTTTTATTTTATTTAAGACATGTATAGACACCAGAAAACATCTTGAACAAATGTCATTGCATGCGCAGAAGCGATTTTTAGGTATCACTGGGGGAGGGGCGTCGCGACAATTGCGTGATTGGTAAATCAGTTGACGTTTGTGTCCCGCGACGCGCAAACTTTCCCCCACTCCCTGTTTAATGCTCAAGAAGTTTGCCGGTATCTGGACAAGATAACGTCTAGTGGGTTCGTTAGTTTTCTATATATGTATCAATGTGTCTTATTCAAATATTGGTAGTTTTTTTTTTTTAGTATACGCCGAGCTAGAAGCAACAAGGCAGTTCCAAAGAATGGATGTGACCACTGATGAAGATGAGCACTCCATAGAAATGCATTTGCCTTACATAGCTAAAGTTATGGAGGAGTGAGTATGTTTGTATGTTTTTATGGTGGGCCGTATAAAAAACTTAACTATTTTTGTATTTTTTTTTTAATTTTTGATGCTTACAAAAATGTTGTATTGTGTTTTGTCGACTACAGTCGAATCTCTAGTGCCATTGTCAACACTAATTTAAAAAAAAGCTAGAAGTATTTATACTTAAAAAAATATTTTAGAATATATTAGAGCATACCAATTCTTAAAAGGCCGGCAACGCACTTGCCAGCCCTCTGGCATAAGTGTATCACACAGACCACATATCATCTTAACATAATATATAATCAAATATATTAAAAAGTATGTGTAATAGTGGTTAACGGACACAGAATGAAATTATATTATGTATAGAAATCTTTTGTGAATTACATAGGAGCATTTTTTCCAGGTACCAAACCAGTTTTACTATTATACCAATCTTGGTGGGGTCGCTTACTCCAGAGAAAGAGGCGAAGTGAGTTTTTTTTGGATTGTATGTTACTTTTTTATTTTTGGTCAATTTTTTTATGACAATACCCAAACTCAAAATATCTTTATTGTTATAGTTAAGTACACTTATGAACGTCAAAAGAAAATATGTTAAATTGATTCTAAATTTACATTTACTACCAGTTCGCAAGTCGAGAACTCGTAAGAAACTCTCCGCCACTCTTTTTAATCGCCAAGTTTTGAGTCACACAAATTGTGTGAACAGCAAATCAATCCCAAGGATTAGGATCATTTTAATAATCGTCAAATTTATTAAAAGCTTTATTGATTAATTTACGTTTAACGAGGGCTTTGAATTTATTTAGTGATAATTCTCTTTCGCTTGGGAGTTTGTTGTAAAAACGAATACAATTTCCATATAAGGAGTGGTTTATCTTTTGGAGCCTGGTTGGTCGTACACTCAAATTAGTTCTATTTCGCGTATTATACTGGTGAAAGTCACCAATTGTTTTAAAAACCCTGTCTCATTAAGGGACTTTGTTAGCGATGTTAGTTCCTTTTATGACAAAAAGTTGATGCTTTTTTAGATACGGCTCCATTTTAGCCCCATACCTCGCAGATCCCCAGAACTTGGTGGTTATATCCTCGGACTTTTGCCATTGGGGGTCGCGGTTTCGTTACACATGGCGTGATAACGCACGTGGGAATATATATCAGAGCATTGAGTGGCTGGATAAACAGGTATTGTTTTACACTAACGGAATACACAAACACACGACAGACAAAAACATAACACATATATGTGCATCAATGACAAGTATGCATAACATTTAGGGGAAAACATTTGAATGATAAATAAATATAATCTAGCCTGTAAAGATCTACTGATTAAAAAAAAATACTTTATAAAATAGAGCAGTGTTGGCCTAGTGGCTTCAGCGTGCGACTCTCATCCCTGAGGTCGTAGGTTCGATCCCCTGTGCACCAATGCACATTCTTTCTATGTGCGCATTTAACATTTGCTCGAACGGTGAAGGAAAACATCGTGAGGTAACCGACATGTCTTAGACCCAAAAGGTCGACGGCGTGTGTCAGGCACTGGAGGCTGATCACCTACTTGCCTATTAGATTTAAAAATGATCATGAAACAGGTTCAGAAATCTGAGGCCAAGACCTAAAGAGGTTGTAGCGCCACTGATTTATTTATTTTTTTTACTTTATAAAAAAAATCTAAGAAATTTAGGTAAGTTCTTAGTAAGTTATCTTTTTATTCTAGGGTATGGATTTAATAGAGAAAATGGATCCAGCATCATTCACAGCGTATCTTAATAAATATGGCAACACTATTTGTGGGAGACATCCGATCGGTGTTTTGTTACAGGTGAGGAATCTACAAAGTTATTCTTTTTTTTTATCGAACAGGAGGCAAACGGGCAGTTTGGTGTTGCCGCCGCCCATAGACACTCTCAATGCCAGAGTGCTCGCGAGTGCGTTGCCAGCCTTTTAAGAATTGGTACGCTTTTTTTTGAAGAAACCTAAGTCGAATTGGTTTGGAAATACTTCAGTGGGCAGCTGGTTCCACATGATTGATCACATATATATAAAAAAGCATGTACTTTAATCAAAAATAAAAGGCAAATGTGTCTGGCCTATTATAAAGTATACAGTATATAATATTATAGAATTTTAATAGGCCGGCCTAATAAAAATTTAGCGCCTCCGAACATTTAAAATAATGATTTTTTTTTCAGGCAATTGCTAAGCTTCAAAGTCAACCCAGTTGCCCAAAAATGTCCATGCAATTTCTCAAATATGCTCAATCCTCGCAATGTATGACAATGCAGGACTCCTCCGTTTCTTACGCTAGCGCTTCCTTAGTATTTGAATAACTTAGACTTGTATTAAATGTATCTTAAAGACTCCTAGGCAGGGGTCAGACGGTCAATAAATATCGCGATCAAATATTAGTAATAATGTACGATAAAAGTTATACCTGTATTGCCATAATACAGGCCAAAATTTAACTAACCTTAATGCTAAGGTAAAACTTACCTAAATTAAAACAATAAATTTGCGTAAGTAATCAGTTTTACTTTAATTTTTTAATAAGCATAAACAGAAAAATACTTAACGTAGGTTTATGTTATAAAAACAGTGACGCAACATCCTTACTCTGGAGTGTTCATTCATATTAACACGCACACACACACACACACACACACACACGCGGACTCAATAAATATTGACAGATTTTGATGGATCACCAAAAATCTAGATTTTTTGTCAATATGCTCAATATTTATTTCTGCCGTGCCGATATATATTGACCGTCTGTTGCCTGTTACTTTTAAGTAAGCTCAGGTCTGTTTTTGTCATTTTTAATTTTATATAAAATTTATAATAAACAGGAACTGCTTATAAATATCTAAAATTATAAAACAGATCAAAAACCATTTTGGTTTATTTTAGAAATATTTTAAGTACAATTTACGAATGAAACTTAGTTTAATATTTATTTAAGTACATGATGTTAAGTAGTTCCCGTTTCACTCATTACTTTAAGAGTACTCAAATTAAGTGATTGTCACAAATATCTAGAATATTGTAATAAAAATAACTTATCTGATTTTGTTTTGTTAACTTGTAAAAGGGGCACTTGTTTAAAAAAACTTCAAAGTCGAAGTGTCAAATGTATTGACATTGACATTGACAGACGGTCATGTGAGCTGTACTCATTATATTGTTAACAGTTTAACAAGCAAGAAGGTATATTTTGTATTATTGGCAATTTATTGGTGGGTTTTAGTATATTTTTGTAATAAAAATACAAAACGATGTGTGTATACCGAATACCTTAGAAAAGGCATTAGAAATTTTACTTATTGGCGAGCTTTAAAAAGCTTTTCCTAGAATAATTTCTTCGTAATTTATAATCTAGTATTTGCCCAGGCCCCCTTTACAATTTATTTTTATTAAAGACTTTTTGAGCGCTTGGAATAAATGCACAGCCTTTGTGGTAGTAAAACATGCATTTAATTTAAGTAGATTTAAGAAAAAATATAATTAACAGATTTATACTTATTTCTTAACCTTCCAAAATGCATTTTTACTGAAATCCCGTAGAACTGTCAATTTGACAGGAGTGTAAGAAGTTTTATTTGTTGTTTACAAGTCTTGTGTGTTTAGGGGCCTCATAGCTTAGCGGTCTTATTAAGTGGCAGCTCGGTGAGGGGTACCGGGTTCGAGGACGAGTTTTAATTTAATTTAAATTAGTTCTCGGCCTTTGGGAGGGTTGTGCGGTACCGGGCGAGTGCTTAAACCGTACATGGAGGACACGGTCGAATTTCTAAAGACAAGCACGAATTATTAAATATCCTATACTTGACGCTGGCTAATGCACAAATCGTGCTAGAGCCATAAAAAAAAGTCTTGTGTCATCTGACCATTTTTATGTATTACTTTGAGAGATCTCAAGGCAAGATTGTGATTTGGAAAACGATTTGCTTCAATTTTCTATTATACATAGATACTTATATTGAAATTTACGTGATTTTTTAATTAAATTTTTTTCCAGTTTCAGTAAAAATAGATAAAAAAGAACTTACAATCAACTTGAAGTTCATGAATTTTCGATAAACAATTTATTATTTTATCTTCACTTGCTTCCACTGACTATATAGTTTATTTTAACATAATAGTCTGTGGACCCGCCAAAGATGACGTGCTAGCTAAAAGTTAAACTATTGTGGGCGCAGTAATAAAGGTTTTTTGTAGTTTTACCATGATATTAACATTAAGGGCTAATTTAAATATGTCTGGTCGAATATTTTATTGGACTACGCGCAATTTTTAGTTTATTTCATAAATGTAACATTTTATTATGCTTGGTTTAGCTACTAACTATAAAAAAATTCACGCATTTTTCGAATTCCGGTTGTATTCGAGTTTGTACTTTAGCATTATACATTTTGGTTCTTTAATTTGTTAGATTTAAAACTACCTATGTGATGTTGGTGTTAATAAGATTTGATAATTAAATGTTGTTTTATTTTATATCCATTTTATTACTTTGTCTAATTTGACATAATATTTAGCTAAAAAAAGACTTCTAGAATTCAGTGCCGAATATACTCTCTTTAGTACCTATGCACTATAGGGTAACCCTGTTTATCAGGGTTTTTGTCTCCAGTGCATGGTGACACTCCAGTATCAGTTTGTTGTTCATATTTTTGTTTTCTAATGCCATCAGCACAGACACACTGTCAGATACGAATTTAATACATAAGTTATTAACTCCTCACCGCTGCTTCGGTTAGAGCGACACATATCCACATCGAGCTGTGTGTGCCTAAAGGTTGTGCCTTAATGTTAATATCAAAAGAGAATATGTCAGCGCCGGAGCAATACTGTTTTTGAACCATCAGCATACGTAGCTCTTTCAGGGTCGATTTATCATCTTCCTCTTCTCTCATTTGTTCGATTTTCGACTCTATCACATGGCACGGCTGTTTGTAGTGATTTTCATTCCATAAACCTAGGTGCATAAGTCTGATGGCAGCTAGTGCCGCCTCCTGCTGTATTTAGAGGTCTACGGCGTTTGCAGAGCTACCTCCATTGCTGCTGTCGGCGTTGTTTTCATGCAACCGCTGGTAAGGCGACCTTTGGAAGCGTCCTAGTTTCGTGATTGCCGTGAAGAGTTCCGATCTCGGCTGCCAAACCAAGGCTTTATTATATAAAGCATTGGCCTAATATAGCCATTATGTTTTTTAGGCGATAGACCGCATTTGCATTTTTTTATTGATAGAAGGCGATCGTTATTTAGTTTGTGTTCAAGGTGTTCCAGAACAGCTATCTAGAATAACACATAGTATTTGATTTTATCCATCACCTGTTTCACTGTTACAAATGTGATTACTTAACGTAACTAAGTTCAGTGTGCACTTGGCATTTCATTGATTTATAAAGGAACATCAGCTCTGTACTCTGGCTAGTCGATACGTGATTTATAAGTTTACTAGCTGTTCCCTGCCACGCTTCGCTGTGGTACATTGTGATTGAATGGTTGAGAAATGAAAAACAAAACATTTCTGAGTTTTTGAAGCGTACACAAACCAACACAACATTTTTATATATAGTGATTCTTTTGAGTGACGTAAATACGTAAAATTATCTTACAATATCTACTGACGTTCATAAGATCTTTTTAGAAAACCAATCGGATGAAAACTTCTTTAATGTCAAAATCAATCCATTCGCCATTGTCATGTTTTGAACAATGATAAATTTGTAGTAAATGGATAGAAATTCAAAATTTGAAAAATGCCACTCCTGGTACAAAGTAGACATCGATGGTGACTTCATAACAAAATATCAAGCCGTTCCAATAAAGAAAATGAGGTTAAAACAGAAGTATCACAAACCCATTATCATATCCGAAAAACCTGAAAAATTAGTGTATCCTCACGGAATAATAACAAATTTATCGTCCAATTTCTGCTATATTCTCGCAATCTTACTATTTATCTACTGTAGTTTGGCTCTTTTTATTCCCCAAAGAAGGATAGCGATTCCAGGAGACTTCCCCATCGGAGACGATTTGTTTAATGGAAGTAATGATTCCTTGGAATGGACCTGATGAACCTACGTTCAGTTTAATGAAATGGTATGTGTTTTACGCGGTCTTTTTAAAATACCATGAACCAATAAGTACGTGAACAACAGGAATCGCAGAAAAGCTATCGAAACATCGAGTTATCCTAGAAATATAATATATCTGTTAAAAAATACTCTTTTACTAATTATTGAGACTTATGTATGCACTTCTTTATAACTGGCAATAATTATGGCCGATTGTTATACTGTAATTGTGCTGGTAACTATTTTTTAGTTACTTTTCAGTGGCCAACCTTTTTAGGCCTGGGCCTCAGATTTTTGTATCAGTTTCATGATCATTCGGGCAAGTAGGTGAGGGACCGTTCAAGTATTACGTAACGAAATTTTTGCAGATTATTGCCCCCCCTCCCATGAACTCGCCGCAACGTTTTTAAGTACCTACCCAAGTACAGTACTGTATTCAAGTCTAGTAAAACGTTTCGTGATCACCTAGTGACTCTTTAGTTACTATTATGTGGTGTAAGTAGAAAATAATATTAACGATAACGCGTAATTCAATCCCCGACCCGCATCGTAACGTTTTTAACAAAAGGACCCCCCCTCCCAAAATTCGTTACGTAATACTTGAACGCTCCATGAGCAGCCTCCTGTGCCTTATACACGTCGAGTTTTTGGGTCAAAGGCAAGCTGGTTTCCTCACGATGTTTTCTTTGTTCGAGCGAATGATAATTGCGCACATAGAGAGTCCATGCTCAGCCGGGTATCAAACTTACAACCTCAGGGATGAGAGTCGCACGCCGAAGCCACTAGGCCAACACTGCTCTTGGAATTCATACTTTGTGATAATAACCGTTCGTAGCAACGCCTCCGCTTTACGCTTCACGTTACGCTAAATCGATTATGATAAATTTTGGTATGAAGTGAGCATTGGCTATCTACTTTTCTGCATACAGATGCAAAAATACTCAAATTGAATAATATTTTTTGTATTAAGGCAATTGTAACGTAGGTTATCAAGTAATGAAAACAAGGAATATTAAAATATAAATTTTATTTTTTAATAATTTGCTTTAAACTAGGTTTAACAAAATAATTAATACATTTTTGTAACAGACAAATAACCTAAATTTTAACTCGTATAGGAGACATCTCCATCGGACTTTGGAAAGAGATAGTGCTGTAATGTTGTCCTTGTCGCACGATACACAACAAGCTCCCAAGCGAAATTAGAGAATTATCACTAAATAAATTCAAAGCCCTCGTTAAACGAAAATTAATCAACAAAGCTTTTTATAAATTTGAGGACTACTTAAATGATCCTAATCCTTGGGATTGAATTGCTCCAGTTCAAACAATTTGTATGACAATACTTGGCGATTAAAAAGAGTGGCGGAAAGTTTCTTGCCAGTTCTTCTTACCCGCTCTACGCCCTTGACTTGCGAACTGGTAGTAAATGTAAATTTACGATTAATTTAACTTGACGATTCAAAAGTGTACTTGGTTACCTACTTGAATAAAGATATTTTGAGTTTGAGTTTGAGTTTGAGATATTAGGATTGGTCTAGCTGGTTATAAACGTAATAATTTTGTCAGTTCTTCGATAAGGAATTACACAATCGATTCGCTCATGTATATGAGCCCTTGAGATACTTATAAGGTGTGAGAGAGATGAGACCTACGCTGTCTCTTTCCAACGTCGTTTCAAAATACAGTGCAAACTCTTTATAACGCCATTCTTTATAACAAATTTTAATTTATTTGGTTTAACCCAATTCACATACATTAATTCTACCCTCTCTATAACGAATGAAAATGCTCGTCCCCTTGAAATTCATTATAAAGAGTTCAATTAGTCACTGTATCGCTGTATACGATTGACAAATAATTTCTAGTATTTCATTTGTTACCTAAAAAAAGGACAATAAAAAAAGCTGTATATTTCACAACAAAAGTTAGTAACAAATAATTTCTGTCACAAACAAATTTTTTTTTTCAAAGGAATGCATAAATATTTAAAAAAAAAGTCCAATTATATCGTTAATAAAAGAACTCATGTCTTTTAATCGCAGCGTATATTAATTAGTTGATAAGGGAGCGTTCAAGTAGTACCTAACGAGTTAGGGGGTAGAGGGGTGAAGGGGGAGAGGGGTCTTGTAAAACGTTATGATGCTTTGTGTGTGTGTCTATGCGTTATTGTTTTTAATAATATCAAGGCGATTAAGCAACTATAACAAACTATTGTCTAAAGTATTTTCAAGATGCATCTGCGGCCAGGACTCCTTCTATCTGCCATGCCTTATTACTTGAAGGAGCTCGTATTTTTTTTGTGTCTCGAACGCTTCCAATTTTTGGACAGTCTCTGTAAGCGTTAATTGCGGTACGTAATACTTGAACGCTGAATGTGACTGATTTGTATGAATAGTTAAGGGGAAAATAAAAAAACTATATATATCACTAGCAATAAAAATTATCTTTATGCGCGTCACATTTTTCAACAATTTCTAGCCAATTTCAAAATTAATTAACAACAAAATATATTTTTACACTTTGAGCGTATAGAAAACCACAGACCATAAATAAATATCCGTTTTTGATAGACCACTGAATAACAGAAAAAAATTAATAACTAAACCAATATCTATAAATAAATATATTTTTTTTATTTACAATAATACAATAATTTAACTATTTTTTCCGTCATTTTCAACACGGGCTGCCTCTACTTGTCGATGGTGAGTCTGGAAAAAAATTAAAAACTTCTAAACTGAGTTCCAGTATCAATAAAAACTGTTCTCATCTCTAGCTAATCATATTTTACCAGAAAAAAAAATGCTTTGGACAATTTAAATATATCAAACACACCAAAGTTAAGTTACATATAAATATTTTAGTTAATAGAAGCGAAAATCAAATGTTCTTGAAGCCAAAATGGCTTTAGTTTTTACCACACTCATAAATTGTATTTCATTCTCGTTTCCGATAATGTCCAATAACATAAGTGTCACTTAGAATTGTGAACCCTTAGATAAGCCAAGTAAGTTTTTGTTAGCGTCGCAACCCCACTACCCCTAATGTTATCTTAGTTATAAGATCATGTTTTAAACAATTAAAACCAGTTGTTACCCAGCTACAAACAAAGAGTTTTAATTAAACATCTCCATACAACAAACGCCACCGAACTTAACTCACTTTACAGTAAGCCAAACATGTGTACACACACAATATGTACACGCGATAGAAGTTATACTTCTTTGGCGTAACAAGATAAAAATCTTTTCAAAAATATTTGTAGAAAAAAACGACACTAACAATAGAAAAAAGGTATTTAATACGTTGAAAGTTTTATTACAACGCATTATCTAGTTAAATAAAGTTTATTTAAATATTACAAAAAAATATTTCAACAAATTAAAGAAATAGACATTTTTTACTTGAAAATGTTGACTATGCTAACTTCAGGGTGTCGGTTTTTTGTGACGGTGTGCGCGCATAGTAAAAATTTACTCTCATCATTTTTCACTAACGCGCCAAATGAAGTATAACTAATAGTTTTTAACTTAAATAGGTTTGAAATAACAGTTATCTTACCCATAGGAGAGGCGACCATTCCATCCTGCAAAAAAAAAGCAAAAAATTTCTAATCAAATCTAATCTAATTTTTAAACGTATTGAATATCAATTCTTGTCTATCATATATATATCATATGGATGGCAAAGGTGGATACGGGCCGGTCATTTCCCGCGTTTGTGATGACAGATGGGTCAAAATACTTGGAATGGACCAGTGGGAAGAAGAAAGAAAAGACACCCACCAGAAACCTGGGAAGGTGAAATAAAAGAAACAGCAGGGAAATATTGGAAAATAGTCGCGAAGATGAGAGACAAATGGAAGAATTTGAAGCCCTTCACTCCGTGGGAGGTCGTATGCTTACTGTAATCCTTATTAGTACTAGAATATAGATTATTTTATTTATGTGTGTATAACGTATACGTGATTGTACGTTCTTGTGTGCGTGCGTAATACTGACCGTAGTAACAATTCGTGTCCGTTGCACTGTGAGGTTATTTTGTGGCACACAACAGTCAGGTTGGACGCGCATAGAAGCGTATACCTCGCGAAGAATCAGTAGGATCGTGTCTGCCGATTCCCTGGAAAGACAAACATACATAGATTACCATATTATACTATACTTATTAATTTGCGATATTTGTTTTAAACTAAGTGTTGTTTGATGATTTGCTATTTTAATTGTACCGAGAGTTTTTTACGCCGGCTTTTTCTCTCGGTCTACACCCTCTGTCTTCTTTGCCGATGAGAAGGGATTAATAATTTAATGACGTGGAACCTGTATCTTATGTTCCATAACATATTTTCTTTATTTTATTTTACGATAAACAATATAAAAAAAAATTTCATTAAAAAAAACATTTTTCTCTATGAATTATTCACATGACTGGAATTCATAGGTATGTACCTAACCTATGAAAATCATCAATAGTTAAATATAGAAAAATAAGAGCTTTTTAATAAATACAATAAATGAATAGAAATTTTTGATTTTTATTATTACTGTGTAGTGAGTAGATTAAGAATATTGTAAGAATTGTAAAAAAATAATTAAAGAGAAGTTGCTTGAGTAAAAGTATAACGATACTAGGAAATATAATATCAAATGTATCGATATTTGTAAATATGTGAGGAACAAGTATACTAACTTTTATAGTATAGTAGTAAGTTATTCTAAGAGTACATTGTCTTCACATATAATTATTTAACAAATGTAACAAAATATTGTAAACCTATTTTAAAAAGAGTAAGTGTGGAGTTTCTTGCCCATTCTTCTCCACACGAAACTACCTTTTGGAAGGGGCAAATAGAATCTTCTTTGTATTTTTTTTGACGTTCAAAAGTGCCATTTTAGATGGTCTAATTGAAATAAATGATTTGACTTTGACTTTATTTAAAGAAAAATATATTTGATACACCAGATTTGGTATTCGGTATCCAAGAGGTTAAGTTTGTTAGGTTGTATGGACCTCTGGATCTACTAAACAGATTTTGATAACTCAATAAAAGCCACGTTATTTGAGCGTCATAGACTACTAAAAAGAGACTACTAGAAAACAAAAAATGAAGACATTTCGGGTTAGTAAAGTAGTTAGAAAAACGTTTCTCACGCTGTCTTAAAGATATATAAAAACTCAAAAACTACTGCTCGGAATTTAATGCGGTTTTCACCAATATGTAGAAAGATTCACGAAGATCTAGGTTATACTTTTCATATTTTACGAGGTTTCTCTTGAGAAGGCGGGTGTTCACTCACCAATAGCAAACATGGCTGGTCATGGCGAATAGATACTCGTTGATCATTTCAAAGGGCGCTTCCTGCAGCACATAGTCGATGCGGCGTCCGCTGTTCAAACGTCCAAGCATTTCTGGGGTCGCCTATAACGTTTAATTTATTAAGAAAAAATAAATTGTGCGTGTACTAGGTTCTTTATGATCTTATTTTTCGAAAAATGATCTACTATATGCAACTTTACAGAAATTCGTTAAATTAGATAAAGTTTAACAATAGGCTTTTATTATCATAGACATGAATTTCATTAATTGTAATAGAATTATTACTATCATTGAAAAACGTGACGATTTGCTACAAAATTTCTCCCATACGTCGATAAAGAAGTTTCATTCCAACGCCGATAAAGAAGTTTGACTTCAAAAAGCAACATGGCGCGTAACCGAAAAATGTGACGCGTAACGAAAAAATGTAACACTAAATTTTTTTCCAACCTCGATAAAGAAGTTTCACTTCAAAAAATATCCAATGGGACAATTTTAAGCTGATTTGAATTGTCATGTACGAGAACATTTTGCTCACTCAGGCTTTCTTAGTTTTATAAGCGTGGCGATTTACTAAATCGTCAGAGTTAAGCCGCGAGAGTAATTTTTTATTTATTTTTTCACACTTCGTTATATAGTTATATAAAAAAGTGTGTGCGTGTAACCTTTACGCGCGATTGAAGTAAAACTTCCTTGGCGTTGACGGCATAGTATATCACTGAAATGATTAAATATTAACTTAAATAATAAATATCATATTATAATTTAATTATGTTTATTATTCATGTACTTTACAAAGATTATTCAAATACGAAAGTTAGATCAGCACATGTCAATATAACCTTGTTATTGAATATTATAGAATGTCGCAATCGTCAGAAAATTTATTATTAATTTACTTATTTTAAAAGTGATAAATCAATAAGTATATTTAGAGATTTTTTATTCACTTTGCTATTCTCTTACACAACTTTGTTATTTTTATATAAAATAGACCAGATATTTAGGATAAATAATTTGGTATTAATATACTTCTTACAAAATGGTTAAATTCGAAATTAACCGAAAAAAAAATGCAAAGGGCGGCCTTATCACTAACAAGCGATCTCTCCCAGGAAACCCTAGTAACTAAATATGATGAATAAAGTGCAGGAAGTGCAGAACTAAAACTTATACAAAACAATATTAATAAAATAAACTAAAAAGCTAATCTCACGGATTTATAAATTGTGATGCAATTCAAAAGAATAAGAAATACAAGAATTACTGAAGTCACGATTGAGCAGGATAGGATATGGTTAAGAAATGTTAATGTAGAAGAGTTTTGAAAGATGTTAGGGCGGTATCCAATCGTATGGAGTCGGGCAGCCTATTCCACAACTTTATTTAAAAAAAAAATATCGTATGGAGTCGGGCAGTCTATTCCACAACTTAATGGCGGAGATCCTAAACGAATTGCCTAAGAAGGACGAGCTGTGAGATGGAATTTCCAATAAGCATCTATTAGAGCAAACATATAGTTATAAGGACCTGAGAATTTGAATTCTTTTTTAATATAAGAGGGAGTTTTGGGTTTGAAAAGAATTGAGTTTAGAAGTTCACGCGTCACGTCTGAGTCGATAGCCACCCGACCTGCCTGCGGAATTTAGATATAGTATAGCCAAACGTAGGCACTCTTTTATATAAAATCTATTATAAGCATAGGCTAATATAGAGTTAAAAAAATATGGACAACACCCCAATCATCCAGAAACAAATTTATTTTATTAAAAAAGTAGACCATGATGTATTCAAATAAATATGCCATGGCTATCAAACTATTTAATCACCAGAAGTTATAGATCAATACTTTCAAGAGAAAGATGATTAAATATTTCAAGACCGTGTGGAGAGATGATGATGATGAGAGATATGGAGAGTATTTAGACCATAAGTTTTGACAGTTACAAATGACTGCTAAATTTTTTGAAGTGAAACTTCTTTAGGCGCATAAGGGTAATTTTTTACGGATGAAACGCAACAATAATAATATTAGCGTCACGAAGATGTGCAGCGTTTTTCTCAAATAACAGAGAGAGAGAGCGATTGAGAGAGAGTGAGAAAGAGTGAACGTATCATGAAGCAAATAGCCATGGAGCGAGAGTAGGGAGCATGCAAGTGAGAAAGATCGAGAGAGAGAAAGTGACATAGAGCAAACGTCGCATCACGCACAGTGCCAAGGAGCGACAGATGGAAAATAGCTCTAGTGAGAAAGATTGAGAGAGAGAGAGAGAGTAAGGGAGATCTTTAGATCGCATTTCTGTCGCATAAGGTCTTGTGCGGTAAACGCAGAATTTTTTATTTATTTCTATTATCATTAACACGTATACATTGTGTAAACATTGTGAATATAGATATACAAATACATGGAGTGATCATATTCTGGTACATGATCATCTATTGGGGCTTTTACCTTAGTAATAATTAGTTTACACGCACACACTTTTTTATTATAATAAACCAATCTGAATGTACCATTTTCTTTGCAAATAAACGATTTATTATTTTTAGTTTCTTCAATTTATTCGTATATTTTCTAAATAGTTTTTAGTGAAAAATCTTTACAAAAGTATAAAAATATTTAAGTAAAAAAATCATTATAATTACTTCCTTATCCTGCGCGACGTCTTCTTTACACTCATCGTTCATTTCTTCCTTCTCCATCTCTTCTTCTACCACCTTCTCGAGCTGATCGGTGGGAGGCGGAGCCGTCTTCCACATACTATACCAAGTGCTTTTTATGGACTCCACCAATTTCTGTTTAATATCAGCACCGACACGAGCCATTGTTTCTTTTAGTTCTGTAAAAAAAAACCAAAAAAATTACATTTGTCAGGGATATTTTATAAGTCTGTCTCTAGATAACGTTTAAACTGATTTACAGATTTAGACGGATTTAACAATTTACCAAAATTAATAATACATTGATGAAACTTAGACTTTTCCTTAAGTTGAAATATATCTAAATAAAAAACTTTGCTTCCAAGAAATTTGTCGACAAACATACATTTACGAAATTGTGAATACATGCTTCGAAGGTAGAACCGAAAATCTTGTAAATCTGAAAACTTGCTTCGCTTCAAATCGGTTAAAAGGAATATTGACACCTGACATTTGTCACTTTGACAATTTACTTGTGTACGTATAATGTAACAGATTTTAAATAAAATAGATAAATTACGGAAAATAATACGTGTATACCTCAAATTGCTTCTTTAATTTTGATAAATTTTATGATACATATAATTTTTGTGTTGTAACAAAATACAGAACTTATCACAAAAAGTAAATTAAAAAAAATGTCCCAAACCCCACGAGAACTCACCCAAGTGCATCCGTTTCCGTCCTTTGTGGTGGGGTATCAGGTATGGTTTTATCTGCCGCAACTCTGGATTTATCATTGGTTCGATTCTGAAAAAAAAACAATCCCTATAAAAAATATAATAGTTAAGCGTTCCAGTCATTATTAAAAAAGCCGGCAACGCAAGCCCTCTGGCATAGAGTGTCCATGGGCGGCGGATTATATCACTTAACATCAAATGAGCCTCCTGCCCGTTTGCCTCCTGTTACATTAAAAAAACGACGACTTTGACACATTTTTTTTTTATGGCTCTGGCACGATTTGTGCATTAGCCAGCGTCAAGTATAGGATTTTTTTATAATTCGTGCTTGTCTTTAGAAATTCGACCGTGTCCTCCCAAAGGCCGAGAATAAATTTAAATTAAATTAAAACTTGCCCTCGAACCAGGAATCGAACCCGGTACCCCTCACCTAGCTGCCACTTAATAAGACCGCTAGGCTATGAGGCCCCCCTTTGACACATTGACATTTTAAAACCTGTAAGATGTCTATGATATTGCTTGGTGTTGCCAGTCTAATAAAAACAAATGACATCGTGTTCTTTTATTACATAATCTATGACGTATATTAACATATTCATAAAATCTCAATAAAATCTAATTGTATTTTTAATATATTTGTACAATTTTTAGTAATCAATGTTGAAAAGCGGTATGACTGCCGTTTGACAAAAACGTATACGTACCTGTAAGCGATGGGGTCGTAGGGATGAAAGATATTAAAAAACTTCCCACATGTGGGTAGACGAAAATCTTTGCCGAGCATATCCACGCCACGGACGCATTCGAAAATAGCTGAAAAAAAATTTATTAGATTTATTTAAAACAAAACATACACTTAAAGTTATAAAAAAAATTAAATTTAATATAATCATTAATTTTCACATGTGAAATTATTATTGTTCTGTTTAATATGTGCACTAAGTATATAGTATATTGTTAAATTTATTTAAGAAAATATAAATTGTTAGATTATAATGTGTCCATAATTGTCTTGATTTTCTTTTCTTTTTCTATTTTGGTTCTAGCCATTTAAATCAAACAAAAAAACTAATTATTTTAAAACAATCAAATATAAAGTAATTACAATTTTCTTAACCAACATAGTAATAATTAAAGATGAATAAAAAGAAAATTAAAACAAAATTAAAAATAATAACAATATTTATTTTATATATTTAATTACAACTTAAACATTTCCAAAGATTTTTTTTATATAACAGTGAAAAGTCTATAGCAAAAATAATTTTACCAATTTATAAGCAACGTTCCTATACCCCATCGGGTATTTTACTTACCAATAGGACTACCAAGTGCGAACAAGGCTTCGGGACAAAACTCCAACTTGGGGTATTTGAACATTGGCTGTCCCGTGCCGGCACACTCTTGGACGTACTCCTTTTCCGTTGAGCCATTAGAGACTGAAGCCTGAAAGAAAGTTTACTTAACCATTTTAGGTCTGGGCCTCAGATTTTTCTATGTTTCATGATCATTTGTCAGTCTAATAGGCAACTAGATGATCAGCCTCCAGTGCCTGACACACGCCGTCGACTTTTTGGGTCTAAGGCAAGCCGGTGTCCTCAAGATATTTTCGTTAGAGAGAATGTTAAAAACGCACATAGAAATATTCTTACGACCTCAGGAATCAGGAGAGTCTTTCTCTCAAGACATAAGGCATACACTGCTTCTGCAACTGCTGATTATATAACTCTTAATCATTTCATTATAAGAAGAGTGTTGGTGGTGACTTTCTTTCTATGTGCGCATTTGACATTCGCTCGAACGGTGAAGAAAAACATCGTGAGGAAACCGGCTTGTCTTAGACCCAAAAAGTCGACGGCGTGTGTCAGGCACTGGAGGCTGATCACCTACTCCCCAAGATAAATCTATTTTTTTTAATCAGTTTCATAAATACTATCTTATTATAAGATAAATTAATTTGATACATCAGCGCCATCTGTTATCAATTATTGTCAACATAATTAAATTTCAAAAATAGTTTTTGAATGGTTTCTATCACAGGGTAAACACAATTTGAAACAGTATTTTTCAACAGTGAACATAAGACACTGCCACAAGGCTCGCAATTGCGTTGCGGACCTTTTAAGACTAAAACTTGTCGCAAGCTTATCTGGAAGGCTCTGTTTTTGAAGGACCCTATGTGCCATTGCTTTGGAAATGCAATAAAAGTAGTTTTTATTAATATCGGAATTGATATATGTATCGAATGAAATTGATGTTTTTAAACTAAAAAAAAACGTTTTTTAATTTCTACTGATTAGATACCTCGGGTGTCTGATGCCCCAACAAGTCGTACAAAATGACGCTCCCCAACGAATGTCCCCCTAAAGAGACACCTCCTCTGAAGTCCGGGTTCCGTTTCTTGAATAAGCCATAGATTCGATTCAGCTCCTTGCACACCGTGTCTATTATTGTCTGAAATTAGTTACAAAATTACGTCACAAAAACGTTCGCCTAAAATGAAGCCTGAGATCGTGCGCTCAAACCCCAATTGAACAGAGATTTGGTCGATCGTAAGAAAAACAAAATATATAGACTTAATAAGTTTAATGTTATAAAATGAATTGCTGCTAGTCTCGCTAAAACTTGATATATTTGTATATTGTAATATATAATATGTTTTGCTGTCAAATATATTAAAATAAATGTTGTTAAGGTTTTTATAAACTGCTACTGTATGAGTATCTTTATTTTTGTAATTAAACCGATTTTGATGAATTTTTATGTATTCAAATAGATTCGTAACTCGTTTAGATTTACAATTAGATATTATTTTTAAAGTATGTACAGCACTTCTGTCGGTTCTACTAGTCGATATATATAAATCTACTACTAAACGACTACATCTATTTCTATGAAATTTATCGACTACTGTATTTAAAGACATATGCATAAAGGACTGTCGGATCAAATGTGAAAATCCAAAATATTGACATAAATTTTCGTTCACTAACTCACCTGTCCAAACACTGGGCTAGTGTAGAACAAGACATCCAACACCGTGTCGTTCGTGAAGTTCCGTAACCAAGGAATGCTGTCCAACGTGACGTTAGCCAAACGTTTGTCGACGCCCGTCTCGCCTGAATGTAGGCTCGAGTGCCAGGAAATTGGGAGTACCTGAAAGATAAAAAAGATGTGCTGTTAGAGGAGAATGTTACGAACGCTTATCTACTTTGACCATATTGCCAGAGGGTTCGCGAGTGCGTTGGCGGCTTTTGTAGAATTGCTGCGCTCTTTTCATGACTTGTTTTTAAGAAAATAAATTTCATTGTCTGTGTACATAATTTTTATTCTTTGTGCAACCATTTTATCCTCTGTGGCTGATATATAATATATAAACCATTCATTAGTCTATGACTGAACAAAGTCAAATTCAAAGTTCCATTTAGGTAACATATAGTACATTTATGAATAATAAAGAAATTGATATTAAATGCTTTCTATATTTACTGCCAGTTCTCAAATCAAGGGCGTAGAACGGACGAGAAGAACTGGCAATAAACTCTCCGCCACTCTTTTTAATCGCTAAGTTTTGCCTCTTGTGCTTGCCATGTCAGACTAGATGGACCCCTTATATATAAGGAACTATTCACCAACCTCCCTTCACAATATTATTGCATTGTCTAAATAGCTTGTATTCAAAGTAATAATGAAGCAAAGTAAGATTGAAAAAAAGTAAGAATGAAGCAAAGTAATAATGAAACAAAGTAATAATGAAACAAAGTAATAATGAAGCAAAGTAATAATGAAACAAAGTCATAATAAAGCAAAGTAAGAATGAAAAAAGTAAGAAAAAAGCAAAGTAAGAATGAAACAAAGTCATAATAAAGCAAAGTAAGAATGAAAAAAGTAAGAAAAAAGCAAAGTAAGAATGAAGCAAAGTAAGAATGAAACAAAGTCATAATGAAGCAAAGTAAGAATGAAAAAAGTAAGAATGAAACAAAGTCATAATGAAGCAAAGTAAGAATGAAGCAAAGTAAGAATGAAGCAAAGTAATAATGAAACAAAGTAAGAATGAAACAAAGTCATAATGAAGCAAAGTAAGAATGAAAAAAGTAAGAATGAAAAAAGTAAGAATGAAGCAAAGTAAGAATGAAGCAAAGTAATCATGAAACAAAGTAAGAATGAAACAAAGTCATAATGAAGCAAAGTAATAATGAAACAAAGTAAGAATGAAGCAAAGTAATAATGAAACAAAGTCATAATAAAGCAAAGTAAGAATGAAAAAAGTAAGAATGAAGCAAAGTAATAATGAAGTAAAGTTCTAATGGAACAAAGTAATAATGAAACAATGTATCAGAACTGCGCCCTTACCTCCACCCGTCCAACCAACCCACTGTCGCACGAGTTCTTGTAGTGCGATTGAAGTAGCTGCATACTCGTTTTTCTAAAGTCGTCCACTGGAAAAAAAGACGCTAATTGAGATTGGGAGTATTCATCGTTTGAAACTTAAAGTGGAAGATATTTAAAAAAATAACACTTAAAAAATCTAGTAGAAATGGGCCGGTCACATTGCCCGCGTTTGTTATGACAGATGGGTCAAAAAGGAATACTTGGAGTGGACCAGTGGGAAGAAAAAAAGAAGACACCCATCTAGGAAGATGTAATAAAAGAGATAGCGGGGAAAACCACAACTGAGCGTTTTAAAGCAGTTTTTACCGCACACTCCACTATGTATTCAAAATAATAATAAAAAAATAGGTCGTATAAATTAGCCTATAATCAAGATATACAAAAATTACATTAAATTTGTTTTTATTGTTTTTTTTATGTAACAGGAGGCTTATCTGATGTTAAAAGACACCGCCGCCCATGGATACTCACATTGCCAGGAGGCTCGCAAATGCGTTGCCGGCCTCGTTTCTTGAAGGACATTAAATGGAATTGGCTTAATAATACCTTGACCGGCAGCTTGTTCCACATAGTAGTGATGAAAATTAATATTAATAGTGTTACCTATTAATGAAATAACCAACTTCTTACCGACAGCCTCCACAGGTCTCATGCGCATGTCACAAGCCGATCCGACCCCATGACACAACAGCAGCAGGTGATCTATGCTCGATGGTTCCGTGTCTTCTATCTCCGACTCCACCGCACCGCGTTTCACTACACGAGGACGTGTCATTGATTGCTGAAACATTTTCGATGGAATTTATATAATTATTGTCATTTCATTTGATGAGAATCCTATCCTACAATGGTGATTCTGTGGAATTGTCTTAAGTAATATTCAAACTAACAGTAACATAGATCCGTCTCTTTTTATCATCGCGTGAATACAATTCGACGGAAAGAGACATAAGAGTTACAACTTAAAATAATACGGATTGTGATTTTATAAAGGCTCGTAGTTAATTTAAGTTAAAAAGGGTTTTATGGCAAGAATAAACAATTTAAAGGCTGGCAGTCGCGAGTTAGCATTGAGAGTCGCCATGGGCTATCACTACGCATCAGATGAGCCTCTTGCCCTATGGCAGGGGCACCCTATTGCATAAAAACCACCCAGGATAGAAAAAACTTCAAACCGGTATATAGTAAAACATAAAAACGTTTAGAACGAATTAATCTACCTAAAAGAGAATGAGGCAGATGAGAACGTATAACGAAACGTAGCGTTCAATTGTGTGTCAAACGGACGTATCACCAAACTGACGCATCAGGTGTCAACCCGTATAAGAATATACTGATTTTTAATTCCGTAGAATTCTGACAGCTGTAATTCATGTCAGAGATTATAAAGCTTTTTGGCCGGGCACATTTTTCAATTTCAATACGAGTCTGAACATCTGAGTCTATTCATACATTTTATTTGTTAGTGAATGTATTCATTTTATTAAGTACGGTGCTCCACATTAAAAGTGGTTTTGCGGCGAGTGATAATTACGTCCCTTTTCATCCCAAACAGTAAAAAACGCACAAGTAAAGATAACATATTATTTTTTTAAAAAAGGTTTACTAAACCTGGAATTAGTAGGCAGTGATGCCAGCTAAAGAATAAATTAAAGTTAATTCTATAAATGATTCGTGATATTGAAATATTTGTTATTTTTGTATTAAATCACTTGAGTAAGTAAATATTTAGATTTACCTTTTTGTAGGTAAAACATACACGTAGCAATTTATGTTTTATTGCCCTCAAATGGGTCAAATTTGTCCCTGTTTCGTGGAGTACTTTTTTAGTAGCAACACTTATGAAATGTCAGAATTCTACAGAATGAAAAATCAAAATGAGTTTAGAGATGCTATTGACCAATCACAATCCAACGGAAAGCATCGTCCATCTTTGTTTTACACTCTCACCCCCCCTTTCCCCCTAGTCTTAAAGATAAGGTCCAAGGATAACTAACAAGTCTCTCCTTCTGATGCCTATATTCTCCAGCTCCATGTACTAAGAACACTAAGTGATCTATTTTCTGTGTTTGATCACCAATTACGCCAATCTTTGGTGGGTTACGATACACCGTTTTGCCAAAGTTGAATAACTGAAAGGATAAGTTGGAAAATGGAAAAAGGATAAGGTGACATTATTAAGGATTTGAAAAGGATCTCGACTACGAAACTTAAAGCGTCTTTTCCTTTATTTATTAATATACAAACTAATACACATTTGGAACAGTGTTGGCCTAGTGGCTTCAGGGTGTGACTCTCATACCTGAGGTCGTAGGTTCGATCCCCGTGTACCAATAGACTTTCTTTCTATGTGCGCATTTAACATTTGCTCGAACGGTGAAGGAAAACATCGTGAGGAAACTGATATGTCTTAAACCCAAAAAGTCGACGGCGTGTGTCAGGCACTGGTGGCTGATCAAAAGGATATCAACTATGATACAAAAAAAAGGGTCTTTCCCTTCATTTATACAAACTAAATACACATTTAACTTGACACATATTTGTAATGGCTGGTTAATACATAAGGAACTAAAATAAAAACGAGGGCGGAAACATGACAGGAGGAAGTCCGAAGTATTTATTGTTGTCTGTTTAGGAATTTCAATGAAAAAATAGTGTGTTAGAATATCAACCCTGACTTGGCTGTGTGAAAATAATAATTAATAAAAATAGATTTTATACAAAATTTCGCTTTAAATAGTAATAGTTATCAAAGAACAAGGGCAGAAAATGGAAAAGAAGAAAAAAAAGAAGCAAAAAAATGTTTTTGAATATTTAAAAGATTGAAAATAACCTGACTTGACTGTGTAATAATTAATAAAAATAGTTTTTATAGATTCCTAATCTAAATTGCTATATACATCACAAAGAAAAAAATCCCCAATAATTTTTACCCCACATACCGGACTTCCGCTAAAGCTGTCAACAGAGTTCTGGAGAAAATGGACCATCACACCCGGTCCATGCATCACCACCAACTCGTTATTGGGAAGTATTAGACGTCTATGCCATTCGCCTGTTGCCATACCGTGCTGGTATTCCACCTGGAAATAAATAAAAAACAAAACTAAAACGTCTGTTCGGAAAGGAATCGTGGTATTTGAGCTCGCTGCAGTCTTACGTCATTATAGTCTGCATAAATCTTGATACTTTAGTTATTTATTTACTAGCTGACCCGGCTTACTTCGTTCCGCCTAACAGTCTAAAAATATCGTGTTAACTTTATGCCGGCCATACACACTATGGTCTACCGGAGAGGTCCACCTGTGCAGGTATGCCTGCACAGGTAGACCGGAATGTGTGTGGGAATAGACCTGTGCAGGTTTTTGTACCTGCGCAAGATCGAAAATCGATTCTTTGGTGTGACACCGTACGGTGTACCTGTGCGTGTGTGCGTGTACTCCGGTCGCCTGCGCAGGTTGTTAAGATAGTAATCGGCAAGTACCATTTCAAGTAATTTAAGGTATGTTTTCTCGTCCATTAAAAGATAGTTTTTAAAATCTTCTGGTTCAAATTTAAATTAACTTAATAAATTAACATGACTATATGTTTTCCTTTTCAATAACCAATGCTTACACCACTTTCTTCGCTTGTTTTTCGTATCATTTTTCTTCAAAATTAAAGCAAGACCTAGCAACGCCAGCGTGTCATCGTCCACATTCGATGCCATCGCAAAGAGAACTGAAGACCGCTCATATACACCGGAACGTCCCCATACACGCTACCATTATTCGGTTGACCTGCGCAGGCATACCTGCACAGATTACCTCTCCGGGAGACCGTAGTATGTATGGCCGGCATTAGTAAAACTTAATTTAGGATTTCATTAAGGTAACATTATTATAACTCTTTTTGCAAATACAGAAATGTTTTAATGCTTGCCATGCGAAAGAAGTTTTACAAATTAGGCCTCTTCTCTCTGCGCCAATATTGCGATACTGCATGTTAAAGCACTTTCTGATATACAACATTTTTTGATGAGGTAACACATGTCTTCGCTCAAGATCAAAGCCTGGGTATGCATCTCCTCATTCACCTCAAGATGGGAATTTTTTGAACTGACACGAATTCGATGTAAAATGGTGCGTTGTTTTGTCAACACATGTTGTTTGCATTCGTAAAATTAATTTATTTATTTATTCGATAACTTTTGCGATATTTTATATATTATATATTTTATTCTGCTATTCGGAGCAATAAAGAGATAATCCTAAATCCTTGGGTTTTATCATTAGAACATCAGCTGTCTTCAAACATTTAAAAACTATTAAAATATTATATTGTTCTTTTGTGCGTAGTCACCTAGAGTACGCCTCACAAGTCTGGAATCCTCAATACCAGGAATACAAGGCTCGTCTCGAAAATATCCAGCGACGCTTCCTTCGTTTTCTCGACTTTAAGGCCCACCAGCATTCTGATGGTTACCATCACCGTTGTCAACGCTACCATTTTTTGCCCCTTGAAAATCGAAGGAATATTTCCGATGTCTGCTATTTATTACAGATTGTTAGGGGATTCGTTGATTGTCCGGAGATGTTAGCAAAGCTCAACTTGCGAACTGACTTATTATGGTTCAGACATCGCCCTCTTTTCAAAATGCCTCCATTTAATACCAACTATAGGAAAAATACATTCTTGATTCGAAGTGTACAGACCTACAACCAGTATTCAACCCAGCTTGACATCGATCTATTCTGTTCTTCCATTGACTCTGTGAGACGCACACTCACATCCAGCTATTTCCATTAGAAGTCATACTTAATTTGTAATTTACTTAAGTTCTTTCATTGTTTCATAGTATTATAAATTCATGATTGTTAATTTTTATCCCTCCTATCTCCTTAAGGTATTTATGGATTATCTATAGGTGGAGATTTGTAATTAGTACTGACTTTATTTTATTGTAATCATAATTTACCTTCTGTTAAAATACTGTAAATCTTCCTAAAATGCAATAAATAAATAAAATAAATAACTAACATCGGTCGAACCGATTTTGAGTGGTGTAACTAACACGACTTTGTTTTATACAGGGTGGCCAAAAAGTTGTGGATCAAACGCAAATAGGGGATAGATGAGGTCATCAGCGGCAAAAAATTGTTCTACGGGAGGTCTCTAAGCTCAACCCCTGCAGAGTTATGATTTATTTTGGTTTTATATGAAAATTGACTTTTTTTTACTAATTCTTCTTAAAATTCGAAAATATCTGCATCCTGTATCTTTCTCATAATATCCACTAGATTGGTACTGATGAGTTCTTGCGTTCGACATACTATTTATAGTTGTTTATTGAGTGTATTCAAGATAATATTAAGTGATACGATATAACATTTTTTCAAATCATAAATTTTTCTTTACTTTGGACCCCACTGTGAAAAAAAATTACTCCACCGAAAAGTGTCCCTGTACTACAAGTTTTGGCGCATTTAATAGGGATTCTGAAAAGGTATTACACGTGGCCATGAGTCGCTCTAATATCTTTCTAAATAAGAATTAGTAAAAAAAAGTCAATTTTCTTATAAAACGCAAAATAAATCATAACTCTGCAGGGGTTGACCTTAGAGACCTCCCGTAGAACAATTTTTTGCCGCTGATGACCTCATCTATCCCCTATTTGCGTTTGATCCACGACTTTTTGGCCACCCTGTATATTTAGATTTAAGTTTACCACATCATACTTAATACTATATCTATTTGCGAAACCAAGGGCCAGAACCAGTATGTTGCACAGATCCCCGTTATCAAAGACGTTGCGTCTACTGAAAGCTGTCTCCGATACGGAGCGATATTGTGTATATTACGTGTATCATATGATACACGTAATAATAAAGCACTGCATAAAAATTAAGTATATACTTTATTATATTTTATTTCATTTTTCTCGACATTATCGTATTGGCATAGTCTGTAAGGATAATGTATGTATTTCTGTAACAAATATCATATCTACAGTATATGTTACAAGTTTATCAAAAATATATAACAATTTTGAGTAAACATTAATATGATAAAAATTCAATAAAAATATATATATTTATATCATTAAGTAAAATAAAAATACCAGAAAGTTTTGTTAAGCAGAAAAAAAATCAGCAAAGCAGCGGATTAAGTACGGGATAGGCACTTAACAATGTTTTTTTTTTTAAATTGATTAGTCCACTACCGAATATATCAAGTAAATATTTAGATTGACCTTTTTGTAGTGAAATTAACCTTATTGTAGTGAAATTGACCTTATTGTAGTGAAATTGACCATATTGTAGTGAAATTGACCTTATTGTAGTTAAATTGACCTTTTTGTAGTCAAATTGAACTTTTTGTAGTCAAATTGACCTTATTGTAGTGAAATTGACCTTATTGTAGTGAAATTGACCTTATTGTAGTGAAATTGACCTTATTGAAGTGAAATTGACCTTATTGTAGTGAAATTGACCTTATTGTAGTGAAAATGACCTTATTGTAGTGAAATTGACCTTATTGTAGTGAAATTGACCTTTTTGTAGTTAAATGGGTCAAATTTGTCCCTTTTTCGTTGAAGATTTTTTTAGTAGCAACACTTTATGCGTTTTGTAAGTTTATAACTGGACATTGCGACTTCCGATATATACAGTGACCCCGATGGCAATGAGGTTTTGGGCAGCCCCAAGGCAAATATATAATAGTCTTGTCGAATTGTCAATCTCCATATCAAGATAGCGCGTACAAAGTGAGGGTAGTTCAAAACTTTTGAAGAATAACAAACTTAATACACTTTCTCACCTCCAACTTCTCTGCCACGGCCTCTGCGTACGGGACGTACCTTCCATCTGTGTTACAATAGAACCAGCTGCATCTGTAAAACATTTCAATAAATGTACGCAAGATAATTTTAAATATTATATTTCATCACTATAAAGAAAAGTTATCTTCCAAACAGCTAAGTTTCATTAGTGTTTGTTGGTCAAATCATATTAAAATTATCATTTTTTATTCAAATCTATTAAGTTAACAATTATAAAAATATTTAAACTTAAGAAACACCAATATGTTTACCAAACTCAAACTCAAAATATAGGTAACCAAGTACACTTATGAACACAGATCTATAAATTGATTACAAAAATACATTTACTACCAGTTCGCAAATCAAGGGCGTAGAGCGGGCAAGCAGAACTGTCAAGAAACTCTCCGTCACTCTTTTAAATCGCCAAGTTTTGAGTCATACAAATTGTTTGGAGTGAAGCAAATCAATCCCAAGGATTAGGATCATTTAAATAATCGTCAAATTTATAAAAAGTTATATTGGTTATACGTTTAACGTAACCAAATCTTAAAAGGCCAGCAACCCACTCCTCTCCTGTCATTCGTCTATGGGCTGCGGTATCACTACCTTCGGTGTGCCACCTGCCCCTTTGCCCCATCGTAAAAAAAAGGGTGCGTGTACTTATGTACGCGCGTAGGAAGTTATACTTCTTTGGCATTATTAAAAATATATTGATTTCATGCAAATAATTAATTACAATTAAATAATCAAAGACTGGAAAAGGAGTCATTATAGTCAATAAAGTTCAGTTTACATTTTAAAAATGAAATAAATAAATATTTATTATTATTCTCTTACATTAAGGGCTGATTTCACCAATGTCGTAGTTATCCGAGAATAGCTATACCAAGGATAAACATATTCGCTTAAATTTAATCCCAGATAACTCACTTTACATTTCACCATGTAAAACATCCGATAAACTAGTCTCAGATTAGCTATTCTTTGGAATAGCCGTTTTGCTTATCTGTGGAAGTGTATATTGAGTGAACGAACAAATGAGTGTATAATGAAAACAAATTAAATGTGCAATTTCTTTAAAGAACATGAAGGTTAAATGGAACTTTTTACTTTAGTTGGATTATACGTCAGTTTGAAGCTGTCATGGAACCTACTTTGTAATCTGTGGTCAGGTCATAGAAGCTTTGTTTTGCCTGAGTGTTTATTTTGGTTTTGATTTGAAAGAAGAAAATAAATAACAGAAACAATATCGTTCATGATAATGACCGATAGAAAAAGAAGTCCTAACTGGCAAATGCCAGAGAAGATGTTACTGGTAGATCTGATAACTGACCATTTTAAGATAGTGGAAAACAAGCGTACCGACGCAGTAACCATGAAAGAAAAAAATGCTGAGTGGATTAAAATATCCAATGAATTCAATTCGCAAACCAGTTTCAGTCACAGAACCGCGGAAAATTTAAAGGCACAATGGGCTTACAAAAATTCACCAAAAAAGAATCTGCTGCTGCCAGCTGACATGACATGGCGGCCATTTTTAACCAAGGAATATCTCCGTATTCGTTCAAAATTGGGCGTATAAATCTTATCCTTGGAATAACGTTTTATTCTCAGGTTAAGTAGTTGGTGAAATGTAAAATTTGCTATTCCAGGGTTAATTCCTTGGAATAAAACTTATCTGAGTTTGGTGAAATTAGCCCTTAGTGTAACATAAATTCTATTATTATTCGAATGTTGTTTTTAAATTATGTACAATCCCGTAGCATCTTCCGTGGGCAACTTCATTCTGTTAATTTTGTGTCACGGTGCGCGCGCATCGTAAAATTTCACTCTCATCAATTTTTCATAACGCGCCTAAACAAGTTTAACTTCAAAAATTCCTTACCGCCTAACATTGGTCGGCTTCTCAGACCAGTAGACCGGCATTCGAATCCTACCAATGATGTTCACGTCGTATCTCCCACCATCTGTTGGCACCAAGGTGTTTTCGTTCAGGTCAGCTGAAACGTCAAATGAGGATTATCATCCTAGAGTTTGTAAACACCAAACAGTAATATGTCAAACGTCACCTTTCAACTTGATTTTGACAAAATAAAATAAAATATATTTATTATGGAATATAAGATACAGGTATCACTTATTCCACGTCATAAATTTCATCCCTACTCATCGGCAAAGACAGAGGGTGTAGGCCGAGAGAAAGAGCCGGGGTTAACAATTCTCGGTACAGTACACTGTTCTCTTTCTCTAACCATTGTATATACGAATCAAAATAGAGTTTTTTTTGCGCCGTTGCGTCGTTCTAGAAACCTTTCTGTGTTCATTATTATTGATTTCTTTATTCCTACTTTACTACTACTACAAAATGCGGCGCACGTTCTGTCTGAGATAACTGACCAGCCACACTAAACTGAGCCAGGTATAGATTAATACAGCATAATTTAGAAAGAAGAACGGATTTTGATAGTTAAAAGTTCATCATTATTCATTATCACCAATAGCTAAACAGCCTTGTTGGCTTAATCCTCCTCAAGTATATTTCGCTATCGCAATCTATTTCGTGCTTCTTGCGTCCAACTTCAAACCACTATTGTTTCAAGGTCCTTGACAACTCTATCCCACTAACGCAGCCACGGTCTACCGGATTTTCTCTTTATTATCAGTTCAGTAAAACCTTGGGATTCTGTCGTCCGCCATTCGGTGCGCATATCCAAACCAGTTGAGCCTGTTGCATTTATGAATTGGACGATTTTGGCTTTGTCATCGTTATAAGTTCAGATCAACATTAAAATTAATCTTTTTTCCCGAGTACAGCAAGTTGGCTACATACTGATTCTCAACTTTTATTTTGGTTCAGGGATCTGTGGAGTAAATATTCTACATCTTATCATATACTTACAGCTGTTAAAAGCGATCTCCAGAGCTCTTGAATCGGCGACAGAAAATCCCCGCCATGTCGATTGGCCATCATTATCAACACGATAGAACCAGTAATACTTCACTGGCGAGTACTCTGACGTTGGGCGGTTCTAAAAAATTTATCTGTCATTTAAGATCAGCAATATTGACATCCCCACTGGTCATCGTTTACATTGTGTGATATTCTTGGAATTAAATTGTCAGGTTTGCAAGCATATAAACTTGGAAAGTATATATATCTAATATATATAAAATTCTCGTGTCACAATTCTACTGTCCACCCCAATTTTTTTTTATTTGTTAGACAATTTTTTTTGTTTTTATTTTTTTATGATACAATATACAAAAATACATACAATTTATATTCCATATTTTCACCCCTTTACGATCAACCCCTATTTTTTATTATAGTATATAGTTATTTTTATTGAACTTTAAAATGATGCTAAGAAATAATATACATGGAAAAACAAACGTTTGCCGGGTTAGCTAGTATATACATATATAAACAAATTTCCCAAAAACTAAAAGTTATATAAAAATTGGCTTACTTTAGTACATTTCAAATTAAGAAACTATTTTAGTTTCTTAATCAGTTCAGTAGTGTTTAAGGTATCAACGAATTTCTTCTTACAAACTATATATTAACCAAATATATATTATACACCCAAGCTTTCTGAGCGTGAATGAGGGAACACAAAATTTCCTATTTTAATATTATTGATTTATTTATGATAAAAAATTTAGACTTCCATACATTTACAGCTTATATTAAGTAATTTAGGTAGGTTTTTTCGAGATGACATAAAAAACGAGTTAAGCATAACGTGCAGACACAAGCTGTTAAGAAAGTTCGGTTCTGTATTTCGTGGAGCAAACAATATCTATCGTAATAGAACGTTGAGGTATTTGCTACTGCAGCGGATGAATGGACACCCCGGACATTTATACAAACCGGAGTAGTTTATTAAATTATGTCTTTAGCATGATTTAGTAAAATAAATAAATAAAGTAGTAATATACCTCAGTCAATATAGCGATACCATCATCATCTTCCTTCATAGAATGTTCCATAAGATTAACGGTAACATTCTGGGGGTGTGTTTCACTTCCCAAATCCATATTGACCTCCCCTTTTTGATCTTGACTGTCCATATATTTCTTAATTTTCAAATTAGCATATTCTAACTCTAGCTTTTTCACACAACCAACGTTTAAGTTAGAGCAATTTTTACATTTTTTTACAATGTCGACCGGCATTTTTTCAATATCTTTAATTTTAAACGGCTCACGTATAGATTCGATCGAAGTATTGTCGTATTCAACTGTAAAATAATTTACCGTTTTAACTATATCTAACGAAGCTGCATCCCTATACATCGCAAGGTCGTGTATTAATTTCATATTATTATTGTGCGTTTCGCTTTGTGTGGCATGCCTATAGTGATCTTGGGATTGACTTAATTCAAAAAAAGACTTTGGGTTGTCGGCTTTTGGTGGGGTCGCGAAATAGCTGGATAGACGATTGTAACTGTTGTATTCGTCGTTTTCCTTGTTCGACGGGCCTGGGTCGGATGTGAAGAAATTTTTAGGGTCTGGTAATTCGTTAGATGTTTTAGGTTCTGTTGTATTTGATTTGGATTCTTCTATTTCTTTAGGGTGTTCAGTGAGATTGGAGAAGGCAGGTAAGCGCTCCGTGTCCGGTATAGGTTCATCTAAAGGCCTCGTATGTTGGGTTTCTGTAGAAGACACTGGTTGCACAGCTGTTGTGATGTGAGAATTGGTCACATCGCTTTGGGTAGTTTGGGTATATGTTAATGTGGGTGTTAAACGCGTCTGTGTTGTCGTATCTGGAACGTGTGTTATATGATCTTCAACAAAACCAGTAGATGTTACGGAAGGAAATCGTTTGCTAAATTCCTTTTCGAAGCCGGGCGGGATCCTGCTTGATAAGTTTTCTTCCGGTCGAGGGTTCAAAGAATTTTTGTAATAGGTTTCAACCGCATAATTTCCAGTATCAAAGTATGAAGCCATTGTTAACGAAGGACTGATAGATGTTGGTATAGTTGCCATAGTAACGCGTGATTCGTCAATTACGGTTTCCATTTTTTTAAATCTTTCTACCCGATTTGTAAACGTATCTACGGCTGGTGAAAGATCTTCTGTACTCTTTTCTCTCACCATAAACTCGATTTTATCATCATCAGTCTCAGATGGTTCTATAACAAATTCTTCATAAATGGGAAAATCTTTGTTAGCATCTTGTTCTATAGAATGCACATCTAAGCCACTTTCATCTGATTTACTATCATCATCGGCAGGTGCAGTTGGTAGAATTGGCAATGGTGGAAGTACCAGTTCGTCAAGGGAGTTTTTAAGCCCAGCCTTTATTTCATCACTGGCATTCCTTGGTATATTTTCAGCTAATTCGCTCTGGAAAAGTCCGAGAGCACTTACACCTGGTAAGTTATAATTGTGTTCTGTCAGAGAGGTAGTGTCAATTATATCATTAATATCGGCGTTGTTAAGCCCATAACTCGGCACACTCTTATCAAGAGTCACATCTCCTAATAGTTCTTTTACTGAATGTATCGGTATATTTTCTATAAAATCTTCTGAAATCTGGGCAATATCTTCAAGTGGATCTGTTGCACTTTCTGTTAGAGATAGTTCTGGTACATGCTCACAAACTGGTAAACCCGCTCCTACTGGGTTTAATAGTTGAATAGGCGCAGTTATATTCTCTATAAGCTGCGAAGTTAAATCTTCAACTTCACTTTTTTCTTCATGCTTATTTACTTCTCGACACGTTTCACATATATTTAATTCGGAAACATTTTCAGCCAGGTCTTCACTAGACTTTACATGTGAATCATGCAAAGCTATTTCAGCTACTTTCCTTTCAATTAAATTTATTTCACTTTCTTTTGAAGTAGGTAAATCTGTACTTTGGTTATGGTTTGTAAAATCAAACAGATGTGAAGTGTTAGGTGCGGGTTCAAAATATTTTAAGAAAGCGTCATTGTCAACTGGTTCAAGAAACGAGAAGTCACTTGTTGGAGGTAAATTGCCAATAGACGATTTTGTTTCTAGACTCGGACAGCTTTGTTTGTTTACACATAGTATGTCAGCTTTATCTGTTAATGTATTTTCAGGTGTAAAATGTTTATCACTAGGTAATATTGGATGAGGATCAAAAATATTGAATGTGTTTTCATTGCGTTGAAAAGAAATTTCAATTCCTTTATTTTCTTGGGCAGTTATCTCGCAAGGCTGTGGAGTAGGACCAAGCACGACATTAGTTACGCTTTCGATAATTTCGTCATCTAAAATGTCAGATGGCGTAACTTCAAGGGGTGTGCTAAAAAAACTTAGCGGATTAGATACACTTATTACAGAAGATACATTGCTTATCTTTGTATCTTCATAAAATATAGGGGCTTGGAGAGAACTTGGTTTTTCTATTATACTTATAGGTAAAGATGGCAATGCAAAAGGTGTGTCAATAGTATTCATGTAAGAATTAGCAGAATTAAAATTTGTATCGACAGCTTTTTCCAAATTTAAACCAGCATAATTATTCTTAATGACTGGATGAGAAGTAGGCCACGAAGAATAATTTGAAGTTTGCTGTTCTCTGCTATCATAGTATGGTTCTTGAGTGTTATATTGGTGGACATTATAGTCGGATGAATAATTCGAGGTTAAATCTGGCTGAGTCGTATTCGAGCTCCCAACAAAAATATCAAAAGTGGAACTATCTTGAGCATGATCCATACGCGAAGATTCATAAGGAGCTAATTTTTGTTGGTCATCCTTTGCTTCACCATTATACGCTGGGTCGAAAAAAGTCGTTACTGTATTTTGGATCTTATTAATGTCTATGGAACTAAGCTTAGACTTCAAAGAACCTAACAATCCAAAGCCTTTTGTCTCTGTTTGAGGTTGGTCGTAATATTCTGTTGTTGGTCTGCTTACATCGAAAGCAGTATTAAAGTCTTGTTGGTATGGCTGAACTGGAGGAAGCCCATAAGTCGAAGCTGGCTGGCTAAATGTTGAAATATCTGTATGAACTGGGGGTGCTACAGAACTATTTTCTGATATATCAGAGTCTTGAATCGGCGTAAAGAGGGGACCTTGAAATGAATCAAACTGCGACGGTACTGGATTCAGAGTCGGTTTAATATTGTTGCTTATATCACCAACACCTTCAATAGGTCCAGAGTAATATTGCGGTCGCTTTTTACTCATTCTATAGTTTACAGTACCAGACATTTTTGGCGGCTCTTGAACAGGTTTAGGTGGTCCTTGGTGAACATTAGAAACAGACATCTCGTTTGGCTGATTCATTGAGCTTGGGTCGAAGAATTGTGGAGGCGGGTTTGCGACATCAAACGATTTCTTCGGAGGTAATATAGGTTGTTCCTGCTTAGATTCAATTTGTGTTTCTTGTGAAGAGACTTTCATGAATGCGCTTGATGAAAAGTTTCCAAGAGGATTTGAATGAAGCCCGAGCGCATCTACTTTAGACTGTTCTGGGACAGGATTAGACTCGATTTTTGTTTCTTGGGACGGCTCATTATTTGGATTAAAAAACTCAGTTACAGGTGGGCTAATGGTTGGAAAACTTGTTACAGATTCAGAATATGGTACATTTTGTAGGTCATTTGGGAGTGTTTTCTTAGTAATCGGTAGTCCTTGCGATGCAGATTGTATCGGATTTGATGCAGCATCACGGTCGTTAGTCGGAGTATAAAACATTGGAGGGGCATTCGTAGATACATCTTGACTGTGATCAGAAAATGTCGGTACAAAAATATTGTCATACGTTATCAGAGGTGATGCTTGTGGTTTAATTAATGGTTGATTTCCTGCTATTCTTCTTGCAACAGATGGTGGTAATACTGTTCTTCCAACTGATCCTTGACTGTCTCTTCGATTAGAAAACATTGGCGGTGGCGGGATGATGGGCGCTGTAGTGTTTGCTTGGAATATTTCATTAACAGTTCGTACATCATTTCTAGAGGATTCTACATTTTGTATTGGAGTGAAGAAGTTATAAGTTGATTCTGTGTTCAGAACAGGTTTTGAAATTGCTTTAATATCATCCTGTAATACTATAGGTTCTGTTTTCGCCGGTGTTGCATGAGGAGGGTCTGTTTTTGGTAGCGAGTCACGAATTTCAGGTGTAAAATAATATGGTGATTGCGAAAAATCTTTCTGTATATCAGTATGTGGGATTTGGTTAGTGGGGGTATTTGTAAAGTACGGTGAGGATGCGCTAGCTGCTGGGTTATAAGTCGGTGCTTCTCCAGTCAAACCAGGAATCTGAGCATAGACTTTTTTCTTTGTCGTGATTCGATAATTTGATGAACCTGAAATGAAACAATCATAATTAATACATTTATAAACGGTGTGGAGATTTGTTAAAAAACATATATAATTCAAAGCCATATAAAATTACACGTGATTTTAATGTAACTTAAATGTCTTTTGAGAAGCAAAATTGGGTAGATATTCATTGAAACAGCCTGACGGACGTGGACTTTACTACTGCTATATGACAAAATAAAAACGCTTTTCCTCTTTAATTTGTCGTTGATTCGAATAATTCAAGGATAAAAAAATTACCGTGGTAAATGTATTAATTTTAAAACGTAAACAAACTTGACATCGCAATGTACTAAAAAATTATACTTAATCGCCTATAACAATAGAATTTGTAGTCATTTGCCACAGTGTGTAGAACATGTAGTTGCGAAAGTACGAAGTCACAGGTTTCTGTATCTGATTCATGATCATTTGTCAATCTAATAGGCAAGTGTGCCTGATACACACCGGCCACTTTTTGTGTCTAAGGCTAGCCGGTTTCCTGACTGCTTTCTTAAATTGGCACATACACAAAAACTCCATTGGTGCACAGCCGATAAAAACCAATACCAATTATAAAATTTGTGAAACATTTTTTTTTCTTTAACTCGTGTGTCAATGTGTTAATAAACAATTGTGCATAGCCGAAAGATTTTTTGTATCACACGAATCATTCTCCAAATTTCCTAAGATATACCATCTATCGTTAAGTAAATTTGTTAATTGCAGAATATTGAATTCAAAACTTAGTTGTTGTGAAGCAATGTAAAACTGAAGAGAGTAGGTACGGAATAAGTTTAAGGAATTAAATATTATGACACGATCTGGCCAATATATTCTTGAAGCCTTCTTTTTCTTCCAAAAAAAGGGTCTACAATATCTCTTATCTACTCTCTCTACTCTAAAATCTAAGCGTACGACCAACCAGCCTCCAGAAGATAAACCACTCCTTATATGGAAATTGTATCCGTTTTTACGACAAACTCCCAAAAGCGAAATTAGAGAATTATCAATTAATAAATTCAAAGCCCTCGTTAAACGTATGTGACTCAAAACTTGGTAATTAAAAAGAGTGGCGGAGAGTTTCTTACCCGCTCTACGCATTTCGCTTGCGAACTGGTAGTAAATGTAAATTTATAATTAAATTAACATACTTTCTGTTGACGTTCATAAGTGTACTTGGTTCCCTAAATGAATAAAGTTATTTTGAGTTTGAGTTAAAGCAACATACGGCAACATTTCAAATGGCCATAATCATACTATCTAACAGTTATATTATGTTGACTTGATTTGGCAGTCAATATTTAACAATTTTAATGTAATTTAATATTATTTATGGCACAGTAGTGAAAGTTGGCGTGGACACCTGCAACGCCGGAGGGTAGCGGATCTGTTGCCCCCCTTCAGGGATTGGCACGCTCTTTTCTTGATGGCCCCTAAATCGGTTTGGAAATACCACTACTGGCAGCTGGTTCCACAAAAAGTTGGTTCGCAGACAGAAAGTGCCATAAAAAGCACTGTGTTGTGGAATGCCAGGCGGCGAGATTGTAAGGATGGAATGCATTCTGCCTCAACGTCCGATACTGTAAATCAACAATCAACAATAAAATGAATATTTCGAAGTATAATTGTATTCCAATAAATATTTAAATCACAAATCGAATTAAAATTGTGTGACAATTTTAATACGATTTTATAAATCAAAATGCCGTATAAAATTATCTAAATTTCTGTTATTGGGTATATATATAGGTGAGACAACCTGTGGTATGGACTGTAGAATTCAAAGCACGCGTGAACTTCAATGCCTGTCCTACCGGTATTTGTGAAGGTTTTCAATTATTCACTAAATGTATGTAATTGAACATAGAACTGTTTATTATTGTGATATATTACGCACTTCATTGCACATACAAGTATTTTAAAAAATAGTACAACATATACATTAATAAACTGAAAAAAATGAAACGTTATCGCAATTAAGCGATCTCTTCAATTCTTTTTGTCGCCTTTCAACTGTTTCAAGTCATGTACACGGATTTAAATAAAACAACGCTGCTGTTGTATTTATTCGAAACTCTAAGATATGCTGACGGCTCATTGGTCTAGTGGTTAGTAGCCCTGACTGCGAATCCATGGTTCCCGGGTTCGATCCCCGGCTGAGACAAATATCGATGTGATGAGCATTTGGTGTTGTGCTTAGGTCTTGGGTGTTTAAATATGTATTTATATGTCTATCTATCTATAATATGTATGTATATCCGTTGCCTAGTACCCATAACACAAGCTTCACCAGCTTAGCATGGGACTAGGTCAATTGGTGTGAATTGTCCAAGATAAAAAAAAAAATGCCTTGTTCATAGTAGAGACCAACTCGTGAATCATATGAAATCAATATCAATGAAATCTCATCATATTACGCTTCGGGATTGATCTTGAAAAACGAAACGAGTTAGAATGATTCCTTAGGAAGGTTTTATTGTTAATGATAAAAGCTTGCCATCACTCTCTCTTTCGAATAGGCTGAGCTCTGCAGCATATGCAGTAAAGAAAATCCGACAGTTTACTGATGAGGACACGGCTAAAATTGTGTACCATAGCTACTTTCATAGCGTTATGTCGTACGGCATTTTACTGTGGGGTGCTGCTGCAGAGGTTCAATCCATATTTGTGCTGCAGAAGCGGGCTGTTCGGGGTATTTGTTGTGTTTCTCCGAGGGAGTCGGTACGGAATAAGTTTAAGGAATTAAATATTATGACACTATCTGGTCAATATATTCTTGAAGCCTTGTTGTATGTCCAAAAAAATATAAACGATTTTAAAACAAATGGTGACTTTCACCAGTATAATACGCGAAATAGAACTAATTTGAGTGTACGACCAACCAGGCTCCAAAAGATAAACCACTCCTTATATGGAAATTGTATTCGTTTTTACAACAAGCTCCCAAGCGAAATTAGAGAATTATCACTAAATAAATTCAAAGCCCTCGTTAAACGAAAATTAATCAACAAAGCTTTTTATAAATTTGAGGACTACTTAAATGATCCTAATCCTTGGGATTGAATTGCTCCAGTTCAAACAATTTGTATGACAATACTTGGCGATTAAAAAGAGTGGCGGAAAGTTTCTTGCCAGTTCTTCTTACCCGCTCTACGCCCTTGACTTGCGAACTGGTAGTAAATGTAAATTTACGATTAATTTAACTTGACGATTCAAAAGTGTACTTGGTTACCTACTTGAATAAAGATATTTTGAGTTTGAGTTTGAGTTTGAGACTCAGCACTGATACAATGGTAAAATAACCACAATAAACAATCTTTAATGTGACTAGAAAAATGGAACAAACCTTATAACGAGCGTCTGAAAGCACTTGATCTTACTGATTTACTAGGAATTAAGAGGAAATCTCTTTGAAACCTATATAATCCTTAATGGCCACTATAAAAATCCAGGAATTGAGAAGCTCTTTATTTTAAGTGAGACGACACATTTGTGGGGTGGTCCTTCAAAACTTAAGACCACTCAATCTCTATATATATAAAATTCTCGTGCCACAATGTTCGTTCCCATATTCCTCCGAAACGGCTCGACCGATTCTTATGATTGTATGCATATTCAGTATGTCTGATAACCGGCTACTATCTATACTTCAAACCCCTAAGTGATAAGGGGTGGACCCAATAGACCACAAGCCCATGAACAAAAAAATACCTGTGAAATGACCCAACCTGAATTACGCTTAGAAGGCTGTTACTATATCTGAAAATAGCTCTGAGCACTATGCCGTCATTTCTGAGCGGTACATGTGAGTACGTGAGTGAATGGACTTTCTCATGTACAATGGGGGAATTTCGACTAATTATTAATGTACGGCTTTGTTATAAGTGTATAGATGATTAAAAATAAATGTCGAAAAACCTAGTGCCGTACAAAAGTGATGGTGCCGGAAGTCGGTGCAAATTTTTAATTCGACGACAGTTGCAGGAGCAATATAGGTCATTTATTACTGTACGGCATTTGTGTCATTCCTTTTGGACACATATACAGATACTTTACCCGTAAACGCCGTACATATTTCCAGCGGAGCGGTCGAAAGCCAAGGGTCGGAACCCTACCCCTACACCCATATACCCTAAGGTCATTGTAAAATGTACGGCAACATGTTCAAAATATTATTTAACACGGACAATAATGTTTTATAATTATGCCGTCCAAATAATATAGTTAATATTTGTGTAATTAAATATTTATCGAAATTTCAGGATTTACCAAATTCTTACTGCTGTAAGATCAGAGAATAATGTACGGCAACTTGTTTTTTTACATAATGTTACTAAATATTACCGTTGTACATTATAGCCGTTCATTATAAATGGTAACAAATAAAAATATTATGATAAAAAATATATGAAATTTCCGAAATTTAGATGACTTTTCAAATGCTCCTAGAGTAATATGGGGAGTAATATTTTCAAAGATTATTGTTATTTTATATGTAACAAATATAAATAAACAAAAAAACCAGATGCCGTACATTTTACTCCAGATTATTCTTTACAGCTGATAAAAACTTCGACGACGTTTGAGGTGTCCCTTAAGGTCATTAATAACTGTACATATCTGAGTATACTACCATAAGGCTGTAAAGTATATTTACAGCCTTATCGTACCAGCAGAGAGAGGTAAAGGAAAAATATTTTTAACAAAAATATATATAATACAGGGCGTCCCAAAGTTATGAGACATGAAGGGAAAGTACCTTAAATATCGCAGATAGGGTATTTTACTAAAAGAAGACTTTATGTTATTTATAAAAGTTAGTAATTCTGCATTCAAAGATTTTTTTAAAACTACTTGCCTCGTCTGGAAATCGAACCGACTTAAATTAAAAAAAAACACCCCTACTTTTATGATGCCAATCGAAAGAATGGCCAAAACCTAATAACTTTTCTAAAGTAACAGACTCGTAGGGATTTTTTTTAGGCCGAATACGATAGATAAT